GAATGAAATGTGAGCAGCTGTTGCAATTCTTAATAGTTGTACAGTTTAGCGTGTATCTAAAGAGAGGGGAATCAATTTAAGAGTTTTGCAAGGAAATGTCAGTTAAATCCAATAACAGTCTGCAAACCTAACTTCATTACCATGCAAATCTTTACCAATGAAGAAGAAACATCTTTATCAGATTATCTTTTAAGGGCCTCAAAACTTCACTATAGATTGCTGGGAAATTGTGGCTTTGTGGTTTTATGTTATGTAGGAATGAGTTATCTTTACAAAATCCTAGCACGAGCAACTGCTTTTAATTGTTATACAGTCGGAGAATTTTTCACCAATCTAAAAGGTGTTCCTCTACGACACAAATTTTAGCCACAAAACATATATAATGTTGATGAGACAGGTCCCGCAACTGTTCAAAAACCAGTTAAAGTAATTGCTAAAAAAGGAGATAAACAAGTTGGAAAGATAACTTCAGCAGAAAGAGGGACATTGGTTACAGTTTGTTGTGCAGTTTATGCAATAGGAAAAACTCAATCCCTCCATTTTTTATTTTTCCAAGAGTTCATTTCAAAAGAAGTATGATAAATGGTCCACCTGGATGTGTTGGGGTTGCAAACCCATCTGGTTGGATGAATGTTGCAACGTTTTTAGAGTGGATGAAACATTTTATTCAAAATGTCAAATGTTCACCAGCATAATTACTCTGTCCTTTCACCACATTGTAGTCACAAGTTACAGCCATTAGATCGGTCAGTTTATGGGCCACTAAAATGCAGCCTGTGATGATTGGATTGTATCTAATCCAAGACCGATGACCATATATGATGTAGCTTCAGTTGTAAGGAAAGCCTATGCACAAGCTTTTACTTTGTCTAACGTTTCTGCAGGATTTGCTGTGGCAGGAATTGAACCCTTTAATCCTAACATATTTTCTGATGATGAGTTTTTGTCTTCATATGTAATAGACCGTCCAGAAACTATTACTGTTAACCCATTTCCAGGTGTTGTTGATCCAGTTTCTGTTATTATTCATGCCCCAGCTTTTAATCAATCATTGATGTCAAGTCTGTCATCTGTTTCAGCTTGTAATTTATTGCCTATTCAGCTTATATCTGACCCTGGAAGTCAACTATCCAGTGTTTCTAATAATATTTCTCATCAAGCAAGTCTATAAAAATTAGGCCATTTCCAAAAGCTGGATCAAGGAAATTCATTAAAGGACGTAAACGTCAGCGTACTCGAATACTCACAGACATTCCTGTTCGAAGTGAGTTAAATAAGCTTTAGGAAATAAAAAAAAATCTCAGTCAAAAAAGAAAAAACATGAAACGCAAAATAAGATCTTCATGACAAGGAAAAGAAAACTTGATCTTGAAAGTAATGAAAATAAAAACGTCGAGTCTAAGTAGAAAATAACATTTTTTTCATTAATTTTTACTTTTTTAAGAAAGATAAATTTGTAGTAAAATTAATAACTTGATTGGTTTTTAATATAGACATTATTTTGACGACTTAAAAACTATTCTTATACATTCACGGTATAAATTTGATCTCGAATTAAGTAAACATTCATAGGATCAAGGGTGCATATAGGTAGGATCAAGGGAGCATACTGGTATGCACCCATGATCCCAATTGAGCGTTCTTAGTTTTTATAATTTTAAATCTACTTAAAATATTCTGGTAAAAATACGATTATTGAATTTTAATAAGGTATAAAATTTACTATTATGTACTGTTATTTTAGAGATCGAAATAAAAACATATATTTAGTTAGTTGGCCTGATTAATTTTTAGGATCATGGGTGCATACTCTCCCCTAATAAAAAAAAAGAAAAAAAAAGTTAACTAAAAGGTTTACCGATGATTTTCTTTTAGTTATAGCTTTATTTATATAATAAAGTTTGGTACTTTTAATGGAACGTTATCAGTTTTATTCAATTTTTGGAACGAAATAAATTTAGTTTTATTAGCATTTAGAGAAAGTTTGTTAATTACATTAGTTGCATCTTTTTTCATTATCAGAACTATTGTTTGCATCAGGTTGTAGTTTACATTAAGATGGTAAAGAAAAAGCTTTACCATTATTAGAATATACAAGTTTTAGTTTGAAAAATAATTTAAACTAATATTTCTATATTATTATATACACAAAAAGGTTTAAGCTTAGGTTCTTTTTTATATGGATTATGTAGTAGTTTCATGAATTACAAAATAGAGCCCTTGAACTGCATAAAATATCCTAAAAATAATAATAAGGTTTGTGTTTAATTTTTTTTAATGCCTAAAATAATTTTCAATCTAACTGCCACATTGGCATAAGTATTTTTATTACTTTGATATTTTAAGAAACTTAAGCTATAACATTTGTTACTATAGTAACTAAGCAAAATGAACCATTGCTAGGCATTTCATGTGTTATTATCAACCAAATAAAAAATTTGTAGTTCCACTACATTTTTAGTATAAAAATACTCAATGTGGTAATTTGTTATGGTTAGTAAAATATGTAGTTGCTAAGCAATTTAGATATCCATAAAACTAATGTCACCATTGAAACCGCAATCACTAAATTAATAAACAGTATAAAATGGTCCTTAAATCTTTTTTATGCGATGATTTATTAGTTTAGCTCAGTAAAGGTGAATTTTGACTCACTGTGCTATAGTGAAAAATATATAAAAACCTAATTTTTAACAAATCGAGATTTACGAAAACTTTAAAGGTCAATAGTTTTTAAAAACTGATGCACTGAACGTTTTTGTTCATATTCTTTATATTTTTTTGTTCTAACGTTTTTTACAATGTTACGTGGGACGCTTCCTTACTCATTTTTATTTTTAATGGTGAAGTTCAATTTTTGGATTAGTTTCTTTTAATCAAAAGTTCTTTAAGTTAATAATCATTATTGACTAGGAAATCTGGTGATACAGGAACTATAATAATAAAAAAATAAGTCAAGCCATCAATATTGAACTAGGATTTGTTGAAGAGCTTTAAGGATCTTTTTATATATTTTCATCAAAGCAAAAAAAAGGTCTAATTATGATTATTATGAGCAAGAAAAGAAGATAACTACATTGAAGAAAGAAGAAAAAAAACTACGTTGGATCAGAAAAATATGCTACAGATACCAGACGTCAAACGAGTCGCAAAAGGCACCAAGATAAATTTACTGATTTGTTAGTTTTTCACACACAAAAAAAAAGATCTTTAAAAATGGATAAAAAACTATATATATTGAGAATTTTCATTCAACAAAATGATTTAGAACGTGTGTATTGGTCCGCTAAATAAATTGACTGGATTAGATGTTTTTGATGGCAATTCATTCCTACGAGTGTAACTATGAGTAGCTAAAAATAAAGTTGAGTTGAACTTTTTTTAAATGTTTTTACTTAATACAAAAATACTTTTAGATAATCTAAATATAATCAATGTGTGGTTTCTGCGTGGTGTCTTTATCGAAAAACACCATAAAAATTTTTTTTTTTCAATATCATAAATAAAATTTTTGAGCAAATATAGAACTTTTTAAGGGTGAATGGATTTTAAATAATTCGACTGTCGATTAAATCAACTGATATATTTCCTAAAGTCGACTAATACATTTTTGTAATTGATTTTGTAGAAATAGGGAAATAAATTGTAATAAAAATATGAAAGTTATATTTATCTATTTTTTAAAATTATATTATTTAAATAAAATTGTAACAAAACAATATGAGAACAGGCCACTCCGACAACGGTACAATTTATCCCCAAATCCCAATGATTTAGGGGCCGCTTATTACTAATACTTGCTATCAAAAAGTCTATTCAATCTTATTTACAACTTGATTGTAGAGATAACATATAGTTTTTAGAACTTCACAACTTAATTTTGCACAATGGCCCCGAAACAGTTTGGAAGGCCCTGTTCGAAATTATTTATGAAAATCAAATGCATAGAGATAATGAAAATACAAAAAGATTAATGAAATACATAATCGAAAATTTAATTAGACCAGGATTGAAAAACTTATTATTTAAAAAAGAATAGCCTTAGCAAACTAAATACTCTGCATGCTGCCTATAAATAGCATTTAGTTTCAGGTAAAGTTATTGTATGTGGAATATTATTCTTTTGTTATAACCATTGAAATTTGTGTCACGAAAGGAACCTATCGTTCCTGGGTGACACAAATTTTGAATGCCAACAACTAAAAATTTAGAATTCTACTAGCAATGTATTAACTCAAAATGAAATAGATAATTATTGGTATTATGTAAGGTGTTATTGCCATCTTCTAAACGCTTTTTTTTTTGAATTTCTAATTTAGTTTTAAAAAGGCTTTTTTGATAAAAACAGAATTTTCAATCCTACCCATTTAGATATAAACATCGCTAACATGCTATGAATTAGATAAAACTTTAAAAGAGTAAACATGTAATAGCGACATATTACATGCTATTCTTATTTAGTGCATAAACAAAAACTAAGGATTGAAAAAGTTAAATAAAAAAAAAAAGATATATAGATTTCGAGATAATTACCCGACCAAATCAACTTTTAGTCTACTACTAGAAAACCCATAGACAATTGAATCGACTATTCGATTCACAGTCGCTAACAACACTAAAATAAACATGTCAAACAATTATAAGAAAAAGTCTAAAAACTGTTTTCCTAAGTTATTTTTCAAAAACATTTCGTTTAAGACTTTTGAATTTTAATGTATTCTTAATTAAACCTAATATTATAGAATGACATATTCTATAAAAATATAAAATTTCTTTCTAGTTTACAATACAAAAAACACGTTTAATTATGAATAATTTGTTGTTGTTGTTATTGTATTAAAAGCATTTATTTTTTCGTCAATTTAATCCATACGTTATTGAATTAAAATTTTACAATAATTTTAACCCCCGCATACACGCGCAGAATTTCCGCTACAACATGTAAAACCATGAAGTAACCGAATAAAAGGCAAAAAGATTTAGTTACATCCACAACAAAGTGCTATCAATGTTTAAAATGATTCATAAATAAATAAATCTTTATTATTGCAAACATTTGAAAATAATGTTTAATCTGGTTTCATCAAGACAATGTATTGTTAAGTCTAATTTGATCAAGACATCAGAAATTTTAAAGCTCGAATAACGCGCATTAATATAAAATCATTCTGAAATATTCCATTCACTAAGAACAACTTAGATCTAACTCAGAGAGTTGTTCTTTCATAACATCTACACCACGCAGAAGTTTGAAACCACTCGTTCCATCTGGACCAGTAGGATGACGAAGTACTACAAAACTTAAATTAAATAAACAAACGGTGTTATAGTTCATCGCCATTATTAAATATCAATCGTAAAAATTGTTTATTATTACAATCAATTTACTTACGAACTAGCAGCACATTCCGAAAATCTAACACTTCTTCTGCGTGCTAAACGTTCTGGTCGCTCATCTCTATATTAAATAAAATAATTGTACGCGCGCGTGTGTGTCTATATATATATATATATATATATATATATATATTATATATATATATATATATATATATATATATATATATATATATATATATATATATATATATATATATATATATATATATATATATATATATATATATATATATATATAAACAGTCATGCGCATGAAAATAGCAGTGGGAGAAAATTATTTATAAAATACATTTAATTTTTTTACTGATGGTTAATTTTGTATATTTTATTCTCTAAATATTTTCTGTTAGGGTTTTTAAATATAAAGAGGTTGGCAATATTGCTGTTTATACATACATGTATCAGAATTTAAATTAAATTATAAAAGTTTGCTTTATTAACTGTGCGTTATAATAGCAGTGAATATACACTTTATTTTCTATTAGTGCCTTAAAAGTTGTTTTTACCATCAATTTTTTTTATACATTAAGGTAAGTGTTTGTTCATTAAAATTAAACGATATTTTATTAAGTTTCACAATTTTATTACAGTTAAAATGGGTAGAGCAAAACATTGTTCCAATGAGAAGCGTCAAATAATTTTAAATATGTTAAAAGATGGTAAAACTTACAAATTCATCCAAGATGCTTTACAATGTTCTGCAAAAATGATTTCCAATGCCAAAAAATGGACACAAAAAGCGGAATTGCGTGGGGGAAAATTTAAAACGTCATTGAAAACGAACCGTAAAATTATTAGATGTGCGAAGATAAATCCTTTTATGAGTTCCACAGCCATAAAAACGGAATTAAATTTACCAATATCGTCCTCGACAGTGAGAAGACGTTTGATAAAAGCCAATTTAAAAGCCAGAAGGCCCAGAAAAACTCCACTTCTAAATAAGAGACAGATTAAAAATCGAATCGCATTTGCTAAAGAGCATCAAGAATGGCCATCATCGAAATGGCGTAATATTCTTTGGAGTGATGAGACTAAAATTGTTTTATTTAATCCAATTATTCACGAAAAGTTTGTACGAAGACCCCCACGAACAGAATATAATATAAAGTATACCACCAAGACAATAAAACATGGTGGCTGCCAGGTGATGGCATGGGGTTGTTTTTCTTGGTTTGGATTGGGCCCTATTTTTTGGATCAAAGACATCATGGATGCAACTGCTTATGTTAAAATACTGCAAGAAGTCATGTTACCATATGCAAAAGAAGAAATGCCTTTGAAGTGGATCTTTATGCAGGATAATGATCCTAAACACACCTCTCGTAAAGCTAAAAATTGGTTTGTAGAGAATAAGGTTGAGGTAATGAACTGGCCAGCACAATCCCCAGACCTAAACCCAATAGAAAACCTGTGGGGGGATGTTAAAAGAGCAGTATCTTTGTCTAGACCAGCCAATAAAGAGGAACTCTGGAGAGCAGTTGAAGCAGCTTGGAGAGCTATTCCCTTAGAAAGATGTCGTCATCTAATCGAGTCAATGCCACGAAGATGTAAAGCAGTATTGAAAAATAAGGGTCATGGAACTAAGTATTAGATGTATTTTAAAAAGATGAATAAATAGTTTTTCATCAATGTTATATTTTATTTACTTTTTTAATGGTAAATCTGCATTCATTAAATGTGATAAAAGTACCTTTTTTAAAAAAATGGTAGTATGATATTGTCCATTTAAGTTTAAAAGCTTTTTTTAGACTAAATAGTGTCAGATAACACTTAATTATGAAAAATTAACAATTACGGTCCGAAATTATGCATATCATTAAATTTAATAAGGTTTTTTTATAATTTTTTGTGCCACTGCTATTTTCATGCACATGACTGTATATATATATATATATATATATATATATATATATATATATATATATATATATATATATATATACATATACACACACACACAGATATATATATATATATACATATATATATATATATATATATATATATATATACACAAAATATATATACAAAAATATCGATATAAATATATATGCAGATTTAAACGATTTACTTACATAATCTTTTGTACACGTATTGCACTTTTTTTGCCATTTTTATGGTTATTAACAATAGCAAAGGAAACCTCATCGCCAGTTCTCAAATCACTTGAATGAATATCGATCAACTCACTCATATGAAAAAATATTCTTTTACCCTCGTCATTATCGTATGATATAAAACCAAACTAAAATAATTTTATTATATAAATTTTTATTATACTTTTATTATACATTTACATCAGTATATTCAAAAAATTATAGATAATTAAATTTTAACAGTTGAATTATCAATAAATCAATTAATGGTAATTATTAACCGAATATTGATTTAGTTTTTTTGATTCAATAATAGACCCATCAATAGATTTATTTATAAATTTGATAGAACTGGGGTTCTTCACAAACTTGATAGAACTCGAATTTTTCACAGCATTCTATGCTTTCATCAAATGTATTTATTTAATAACTTGGAATCAGATGTAAATATTTATTTCCGTCTTGTTAATTCTATGCTAAATCTTCCATGGCTTTTCCCCTTTTTTTTTTTTGGAACTGTTATTCCATTAATTACCATTTATTTTACCTTTATTATCAAAACAATTAAACTTAAGAACTTCTTTGAATAGTAGCAACAAAACAATGCAAAAGTATTGTCTAACAATAAACTACTTTCGTTATTCTCAAATTACAAAAATCTCATATATCATTTTGGAATTCTAGACATTTAGAAAACAGGTAACAAAGCCAAATTTAATATTATCTCCCACACATAGACTGGATTTTATTATCTCCACAAGAATAAAGATAGAGTTAGTTGCAATGAACTTTTCTCCTAATTTATGTCTCACGACCACATTCTTTCTAAAAAATTTTTTAAAAAAAAAAGGAATAATTTTTATCCATTTGATAGTCAATATTTGAACCACTCTGGTTTCCTAGGTAGCAAGGAAAACTTTTCCCCATCTTTCGATAGCCACGACCACATACATTCCGAAACCTGCTGATCTTTTATTTATTTTATTAATCTACTTAATCTCTTCTGAAGTTTAAACTTTATTTCATTAACTAGCCAAAAAGTACTATAGGACCTATAGGATTTTGGAACAAAAAAAAAAAAAAAAAGAAAAAACTTTGAAAACTATAAACACTTTTGAACTTATATGTTTTGATTTAACAGGGTTCAAATCTGAATTTTTTTTTGTTCTAAATTCTAAAAAAATAAAAGATAGAATTTTCTTGTTCTTATATCTTATTTCTTTTATCTTATATCTTATAGGATTTTTTTTGTTCCAAATTCTTATAGAATATAGGATATTATATTCTATAGGACTTTTTGACTAGGGTACTCTTCAAAAGCTCATGTTTTAAACAATATTCCTGTTGCAGTTTGGTAAATGCTCACATAAAAAATTATGGCATCTTTTGCGTGTATTTTTAAAAGATATTTCTGGTACCCTCCAACAATAGCCTGATCAATCTTCTTAATTTCATGCATGTAATGTCCTTATAATCTCAATTGCACTCTTTGAATCAATAGTCAACAAATTTTTGGTACCGCACCTAAATCAAACTATTGAATTTTATGTATTATGGTATTTATATATATTTTATATATTATATTTATATATATACCATACCATAAAAAAGATGATCATAACAGCTTACAAAGAAGATTCAAATAAAAGTATGAAACAAACTGCTATCAAACTCTAAAATAGTAAAAATATCAACAAACTGAATAAATCAATAAAAACTTTACACGTTTCAATTGATTGTTCTTGGGACACACATTAATGAATAGAGTTGTTAGGGGTCGTCCATAAAGTACATATGCCAAAAATTTTGAAATTTGACCCCCTAACTCCCCCTGTTGCCATGCGTACTTATAAGTCCTTCCCCCCCCTTTACGTTTTTGAAATACCCTCCCCCCCACCACCAAACTTTTTTTTCAATGAAAAAATTTATGGAAAAAAAAAAGGTAGAGAAAGTACCTTAGATACATATACAACCCAAAAGCTGTTTGTTTGCGGCACAGGATCCCAATTTAAAAAATGTCTTCAAATATATATGCAAATAATAATTTTAATAAAGTTAAATTACACAATGATAACTGTTCGGTTGGGCGAGCGGTTAATACTGTGGTCTGCAGCGACGAAGACCGGTGTTCGATCCCCAGTCAAGCTATACTGTGCTTTTTTTGTTTTAATGATGAATCAAATAAAAATAAACTATAATTAAGGTGGAGATTTTTTTTAGGCACCCCTATTTAGTAAGTTCGTAAAAAACGAGTCCTACGTGAGATCAGTAATATCGAAAACAAAGACTAAAACCCAGTGCTAAGGATAGGCTACCCATACCTGTTAATTTGGAGGGGGAGGTAGGGGTCCAGAAAATTTGTGCGCTTTTGCTAATTTAAGGAGCTTTTTATTTTAGCAAAACCTAGCAGTAAAATTTGGGAGATTTTGAGACGCAAATGACACGTTTTTTGGGGGGCCTCCACAGCACTGCTAAAACCTGTTTTTTGTCGAGTCAAAAAATAGGTTGCCTGAAATATGCATTACTCAGGGCCAGTATATAAGGGGTGACATGTGTGCATGGGCGCCCGCAGGATTTTTTGATGTTCTAGATAGGACACTTTCACACATTTGGTATAAGTATACTTAAGTTTGGAGCTTGCACAATCTCGAAACATTAGTATGCCTAGCCAAATGTGTGAAATTTGTGCAAGCTCTAAAACTTAAGTATAACTATGCCAAATGAGGAGGACTTACAAAAAATTGGGATGGCGGAGGCCTGGGAACAAAAAAACTCTAAAATGCTTGCCCCCTAAAATGTGAGGGCACTAATATAGTAAAATTTTAACTTTACCATCTAAAACTGAATTTAAATTTATTGACAGATTTTAAATTTTGTAGAAAAATATTGTAAATTACAAAAAATATGACCATACAAAATTTAAACCCCTGATTTCTTTTTTAGGGGGAGGGAGCTTTTAGGGCTTATTTGCTCCCAGGCCTCTGCCTTCTTAACTTTTTGCAAGACTGCCACATTTGGCATAGGTATAAACATAATTAAGTTTGAAGTTTGCACAATGTGTGAAAGCGTCCTATATGGAACATCAAAAAAAACTGCGGGCCCCCATGCATGTGTGTTTTTCTATTAATTGGCTGGTTAATTGTGATAAATTAGAAATTCAATGTACATACTTTTAAATTGAATCCTCAAACTCCCTCATCCCCCCCCCCCTCTTCATATGTTTTCATACGCTTTTTGAAGACCTCCCCCCTCACCCTATGAGCATACGTATTTTATGGACGACCCATTACTGCTTTATCAGATAAAAACTGCAAAGAGTATGAAACACAGAAAATAGAAAACATTCATTAAAATTTAATTCTTGAAAAACAGAACACAATTATGTCATTAAACATCATATATTTTGTGGGACAATGAAATCTATTGGATAGCAAATATTTTCAAACAATCTGAACTAAATTAAACAATAATTTGAAAGAACTAAATTATTACTGTTAGATAACTTGTAAAATGTTATCTAACAGTAATAATTTAGCAATTACTAAATTATTACTGTTAGAGCAATGTTCATTATTATTTCATAATGTTCATTTGTTTAACACGAGCAACTAAATGTTGCTCGTGTTAAACAAATGAACATTAAATTATCTAATAAAAAACAAAAAAAAAAAAAAAAAAAAAGCTCAAGATCGAATAAAATGGTATCCATCAATGATACTGAGCAGGATATGAAAGAACTTTAGGATTAAGGTTAAGAATTTAAATGTTTACTATTGATCCTCTAGTTAATTCTTACTTGGATTTTTTTTTTAATTAAATATATATTAACTAAATTTGTTACAAAAAGAGGTATTTATATTTTAAAAACAAAATATTTTTGTTACAGTTTAAATTTTTAATGTATTAGGTTTTGACTAGATTTGATTTTTCTGCTGCCATTAAAATTTCAAAATGAGAATTCCAAAACATATATTTTTTAATGACAATAGTTATAATAATTTATGGATTCAAATTTTCATCAAAACATTTTATATAATACTTCATTTTTTTCCTGGTGTTCACCACTTTAAAACACTAAAAAAATTCAAATTGTTCGGTGTGACCAATTGTCACACCAAACAATCAAAATAAATAAATCATTATGACAATTTATCAATAAAACCAATTTTCACAATGGTCATTGTGAGCAATTGTTCGTTGTGACAAATTGTAGCAATGGTCATTGTAATCAATCATTCAATGTGACATTAATTACAATGGTTATTAAGACCAACCGCTTAATGTGACCAACTGTCACAATGCTCATTGTGACCAATTTTTGCAAAGTTCATTAAATATGTATATTAATGTAACTATATATGAATTAACAAACCTGCCCTTTCAATGATTCAACTCTTCCTCTTAATATATTTCGCTTGCAAGCAACACGAGTTGCTCTAATAGTTTTAGTGACAGAATCAATGCAAGTTTGGAATGACACCTAAAATTTATGCAAAAAATTAATCAGCAAGTTTGTTAGAAAATATAAATATATTAAAAACTAAATAAAAAAAAAAACCTTGTTCCCAACTTGCAGTTGTTCTTTTTTATCAACTAAGCTGGTTATACCAAAGCGGTAAACTTCTTCTTTTTCATCATTTTCAAGTTCAGATGAAGATACCTGTATCAAGCCCTCATATTCGCTTTGCTAAAAATATGTTATTAAAAAAATGTATTTTAAACAAAGCATCTAAACAATGACTTAATTCTTTTTTAATGTACAACTCACATCAGGATCAACCGTTCTCATTGGTCTAATTACAGTTCCTTCATAAACATTCGATGTGACATCATCTTCTGTAAAACTACTTAGTGGCAGCTTTGTAACATTGTCTGCACTTATTTTCTCCCCTGATTTGACTTCAGTAAATTGCACTAAGTCACCTAGCTCAAGCGGAGTACCATCAGTAACAGCGCTAAAGTGAAAAAATAGTTCTCGCTCATGAGAACTTACTTCAATAAATCCAAATGATTCCTTAAGAGCACAGACATAACCTTGCTGCAGAAGATGAACAGCTTTTTCTAATACATTTACATCACGAGCAAAATGATGTCCGCTTGCTTTTTTTGTTACTAGAATAAAATCAACTTTATCTTGGTATTGTGGTGTTTCCCTAAGTTTACAGTCACGTAAATAGTATGCAACTTTAGTTTGAACACCGCCTATCTGAGTTTGAATAAAGCCATTTTCTTGTTCTCTAGTAAACACAATAAAGAATATAAAAAAGTATATATATAACAATAAATCTAAATAAACATTTATAATGTATAAATAATAAATAATAATATAGTTAACTCCTGGTAAAAATAACTCTTGTTATCTTGAAATGTTTAATTTGGTCCCTTGAAATCATCATAAGTTATTGATTACTATTAAAACCTCTAGTTAAGTCAAACCATGGATAACTCAAACTTTGTTATGTTAAACCTTTTTTTTTTGTTCCCTTTCAGCAAATTTCTTTTCGAACTTTTTGTATGGAAAAAAAGGAAACCAAAATAATTTGATTAAAACTTTTAATTAATTTTTAAACCAAAGTCATTCCATATAAAACATATTTTTTCTTTTCACATTTTTTTTTTTTAATAAAGCATACAAAATAAAAATTCAAAGATACGCAGTCGATTTGACCGCATAACACATAAATTTGACAGTAAACTTATTATTGACCAGTCAATTAAAAAAAATTTTTCAGTGTTTTAATTTTTGTTTTATAACATTGACTAAACTTTATCAATAAAAAAATATTTTATCTATTAAGGTATTATTTTTGACATAATTTTAAATGAAATCATCACTTTCTTTTAACAAAAATTTACAACAAAGTTTTATGGTAAATAAATAACTAAAATGCTTCAATTAACAGGTTGAAATAATGTTATTCTGAAATAGTACACATGCGCAGACTAAAAATCGAGTTATGATTAAATAAGGAGATTTGTCAAAAGGAATTTTAAATGTTTAATATTTTTGAACCATTTTAATTAACTTGTTTAAATTTTTTACTAATATAATTAAATTTTTATTAATTATTACTTATTATTTTTTATTAATAACTGAATTTTTATAAAATTATTAATATAAGAAAATTTTATTTTAAAAAGATTTTTGTAAATTATTACTCACAACACACGAAGACATTTTAGAAAATTACTTGTGTAAGTCGTTTTCTTGATAACTCAATAAAGAAAATGAGCTAAGGGATTGTCCATAAATTATGCAACATTATAAACGTGTATAAAATTATTTTGTTTAATAGTGAACTTTAACAACGTTTTTTCACTAATAAACAAAACAAAAAAGATCAAAAGTTTTCCCTCGCAAAGCCTTTGGTTAAATGAAAAATCAAAATAGGTTAATTTTAAATTAAAAAAAAAGTTCTATAAAAAAATTAAATTAGAAAAACAAAAACAAAAATCAAACAAACAAACAATTAACAACAGAAGATAAGAATAAAAAAAAAAACTTTAATCAAGTATAAAAAAGGCATCCATTGATTTTATCATGAAAGGAAACTGAAGATGTGTAAAAAATGAAGATATGGTCTACATTATATAAAATTTGTGACAAAAAAATGAATTAAAAAGTAGCTTATCATTAACAATAAAAAAATTTTGAACAATTTTTCTAAACATTTCAGTCTAAAATATTTTATAAATTATGAGTACTTATTATTTTTAAAATGCATCCAGGTTTATTAATGCTTATTTTTTAAAACTAAGATTTTTTTAAAAGGTCAACCTTGACCGGCAAGAACTTATTTTAGGAGGACAAAACAGCAATATTGATTATTTTAAACAGTTGTTGACTGTTGACTGCCTGAAAAGTTCAAAAAAAAAATTGCCTCAACTCGAACTAATATCTCTTATCAACCAAAGTTCAACTTAACCATTTTTCTTGGTTCCTTGGAGATTAAAGTGAGAATTAACTGTATATATAGATAAGAAATAGATATAAAAAAAAAGAAAAAGATATAAAACATCTCTATATTTAATAAGTCATATTCATAGGATTTTATATCATAAAACTTAAACAAATATTTAAAAAAAAATTTCAAATTTAAATCTAAAAATTTTATGAAAATAGTATACATACTTGACTTTGTTGGGACTTTTCATGTTCCTAATAAGAGGAGCTTCTTGTTCTATGATACCAACATACCGTTTACTGGAAACAGTTTCAAATGTAACAGAACCTTTAGGTAAAAAATGAACTCGAGTTGCATGTTGTCTTTTGGAAACCACATCCTAATATCCAAAAAAAAAAAAAAAAAAACAAGAAAAAAAAAACATTAAACTAAAAACATGGTTGGACATCAGTGTTTTTCTAACAAAAAAAAAAAAAAAAAAAAAAAACACAACTAAAAATGGTTTTAAAAAGACGCTTAACCTCAAGCATGGTGTCAAGCAAATTAAAAGAGCAACAACTGATGGTTTATTTATTTATTTTATTAACAAAAGTTGTTTATTTTAATAATTAAGAAATCTGTATCAATTTTCTATTTGATGTTCCAAAATCTTTGTTGTGTCTTGAAGTAACCAGACACAATAAAATAAAGATTTTGGAACATCTCTTTGATAAAACCTCACTTATTAACAAACATCTCTCACAATCTCCTAAATGTAAAAATTCAATAAGCACTAACTTATTTTCCATTTTTGACAGAGTGTTTTTTAGATATGAACTTAAACTAAGGTTTCACTCAACATACAGGTAAAAAAAACTATACCATTATCATTATATGATAATTGCTGCTTTTTACTTAAATATATTTTATTTATTTTTTCTCTCTTTATCTACCTTTAACATGTATAAAGTTTTACACCTCTTTATATTTATGCTTTTTATAACTTGAAATTATTTATTCTAAGTAACTATAGCAACATTTCTATAGAAATTTAAATTTAATTTAACCAAATAAAAATTTTATGTATACAAATGTTTAAAAATTTTTTGTCATTAGATGTTAATCGTGATTAATGAAAAATAATGTCTAAATTTTTTTTAAAAGATTGTTATTTTTTTAACAAGTTAACAGACCAAGCAAGATTATATACATACATACATACATACATACATACATACATACATACATACATACATATACATTATATTATATGATTATATACATACATACATACATACATACATACATACATACATACATACATACATACATATACATTATATTATATGATTATATACATACATACATACATACAAACATACATACATACATATGCAATAAGTTAAAAATATTATCCTTAGTACCAAAATTATATAGAATAAGCAAAAATAAAACTTAGAAGTAAGAACTATAAGGAAGATCATTAATATAAATGAGGAACAACGCAGTACCAGGAATGGAACTTTATTTATCCCAGAAATTACAGGAAATCAAGGAAAATTAATAAAAACTTTAATACTGCAGTTAGAAAGGAATAATTAAACAATTTTAAAAAATATCCCAAATGCACAAAAGAAGCATCTAATGGAGTAGACCAGCATGCCAGTGGACCAGCATTCCAATTTTCATTTACTATATCCTAGGTGATGCAAAGAGTAAGTTACTTTTGCCAAATTTTTAAATTAAGGTTTTTACACATTTTGTATAATTATCTTATTTTTGGTATAAATAAAACTTTATTAAAACACCCACAACAGCAAAGCATAGCAAAACTCTGTGATATATATTAGGGGCTAATCTAGACTGTTTTCGAGAGCGTCGACCATATTTGGGCGCTATCCAAATTAAAAAATGAGGACCTTTTTTTTAAATATATTTTTTACAGCAAATATTGTTATTTTCGTGAAAAAACGCTGATATTTGATAATATATTTTCCGGGTCTGTGTCTGTGGTCTGCCGCCCAATTCTTTTTCCTAGAATAGCCCCTGTATATATTCATATATATATATATATATATATATATATATATATATATATATATATATATATATATATATATATATATATATATATATATATATATATTTAATATCAGTGACGTATCCAGAAATTTGTTGGGCATACCGGTTAAAAAGCCTGTCTATCTTAGAGGACCTTTTTTTAATTTTACTCAAATTTAAATACAATTATTTGTATATAATATATAACTTGCCCAAGTATTTTAAGTTTTTTCTAACAAAAATATAAATAATTAACCAAGATAATGTTACATTTATTACAGAATGACGGTTTTAACTCCAACATCGATTCGTCGCTAATCGCTGCTTTTCATTTACTTGTTCTATTGGCTTACTAATTATAAATTATAATTAATACTAAATATTAAATTAAATTATTAAATTAAAAATATTAAATATTAATAACTAGAAATTCAAAGAGTATAATTTCATAAACAAGCAATAACTATAACATTTAATAAACAATATTTGTATGACTCTTTTATAGACCTGATAAGATTTATTACATAGCGTATTTATTGCATAACAAGGTAAATTCATTCAAAATTTTAATTACTTCATTCAAAAATTAATAACTTTTCTTTCTAGTTTTACTCTTACTTTTCAAATCAAGTTTTTTGGCGCGAATATTAAATTATTATGTTTTAAAAACTTTTTAAAAATTTGTTTTACTATTTAAAGTATTTTTAACACAATTTTACTGTTATTTAAAATAAAAATGTTTAAAGTTCATATAGTTTAATCGGTTTAAAAATTATGCTATGAAAACGTAAGCGGAAGAGAAACTCAAATTAATGTATTTTAAAAATGTATTTTGAAAATGCTAGGCGTTTCATATTTTAATCCAATCAAAAGTTTTTCAAAAGTTGGTTTTTCTAAGTGACATTAATATCGTAACAAATGCTGATATAAAATTGTTTTAAATTGAGTTTGGGCTGAAATTTGGGGGCCCATACCGGTATATCGGTATCGAATATATATATATATATATATATATATATATATATATATATATATATATATATATAAATATATAAATATATAAATATATAAATATATAAATATATAAATATATACATATATAAATATATACATATATAAATATATACATATATATATATATATATATATATATTTATATATATATATATATATATATATATGTATATATATATATATATATATATATATATATATATATATATATATATATATATATATATATATATACTCATATAGTGTCGCTTTAAGAGCATTTTAATGTAAAAAAAGTCTCTTACGACTACAATTTTAATTACCTCGTCTCTTAAGCTGTTTTTGATTGTCATCGAAATGTCAAAGCAATTAATTTATGCGGAAGTACATTAAATTTAATTGTTTTTTAAAAAATTTTTAAAAAACCGCAATTATAACGACTAGAAAGTTTTTTTTAATTAGTGGTGTTTTTGTTATTGATTTAATTAAAAACATTTTTTAAACATGCGTAAATGTTGCTACATTGACTATCTTATAGCCTGACTCGCAACGGAGTGCTGCTACATCGACTGACAAATAGCCTGACTCGCAACGGAGTGCTGCTACATCGACTGACAAATAGCCTGACTCGCAACGGAGTGCTGCTACATCGACTGACAAATAGCCTGACTCGCAAGGGAATGCTGCTACATCGACTGACAAATAGCCTGACTCGCAAGGGAGTGCTGCTACAATGACTGACAAATAGCCTGACTCGCAAGAGAGTGCTGCTACATCGACTGAGGGTTTGGTTTGGCCAGGCAGTCTATCAATTAAAAAAAAAGATTTAATTTTTAAAACTTTTTCTAGTCTGGTTTATTAACGCGCTCTTTAAAACTACAGTTTATGGGAAATATTTTTTGATGCTACGCAAGAGACATGCAAGACTATATATATATATATATATATATATATATATATATATATATATATATATATATATATATATATATATATATATATATATATATATATATATATATATATATATATATATATATATATATATAAACATATATATATATAAACATATATAAAAATTATATATACAGCAACTACAAATTTACAAATGTTTAAAACTTTAAATAAATTATACTTACATTTTGAATAGTGAACTCAACTTCATCACCTATATTCATCACTCGAGACTGAAATAAAATTTAAAACAAATTTCAAGTGAAGAAACCATTTACATAAATATTAATTCAACTATATGTAGAAATTACAATCAGCTGGGTAAAATTAAAAAATAGTGAAAAAAAGGTTAAAAACCAGGTTTCTTTTATAAAAAATATTTTATGTTGTATTTATGTTGTAATGTTTTTAATTTTAAACTAGTTATTTTAAATTTTTTTGTTACTTTTAACTTATGTGTTATGTAAAAACATCAACTAATGACAGTGATGAACAACTAAAATATATTTCTTATTTGTAAAATTCTTGAAAAATTTTTTTTTTGTCAGTTTTTTTGTCAGTTTAGATCGAAGTTCAGATATAATGTTAGTTATGCATATTTTGGGTTTATTTTTTTTCCAATCAAGAATTCAATATTTAAAGCCACTTAAGGCCACTGCAACCAGTCGTGGTCACTATAGCTACTCGTTATTGCTGTAGCCACTCATGGTCACTGTAGCAACTTGTTGTCACTGTAGCCACTTGTGATTGATTATTTATTTGTTAAGAATTTAAATAATTTAACAAATTATTCTTTAAATGAATATTACTTCAAAAATGATAATGGATAAAAAAATTTCATTTAGATTATGAAACATTATTGTCTTCTTAATATTAAAAGAAAAAACATACTTTTAAAATATTAAATTTCAACTTTGAAATTTGATTTTTGAGTACACATCTGAAACAACAGTACTTCCAAAATATGCATAACTGATAATAATTCCAAAATATGCATAACTGATAATAATGAAAATTATTTTTGTAAAAGAAATCAAATTCAGTTCTAATGAACAATAAAAATATGAAAACTTTGATTAATGTAAAAAAACTGCTTTATTTTTTTTCAGTTGTTTTTTTGTTTTCAACATTTAATTCTAATTAATTTCATAAATTTACTTTTTGCAAGGCTACAAGCAATCTAAGTAACCTAGGCTACAAGCAATCTAATTATTTAAAAACTTTAGCATATAAAATTTGCCGAATGGTCACACACCAGCAGTGAACGCCTGAGGGAAGAAATAAAGTACATTAGAATAAAGGATAATTATTTTTCAAACAAAGCATATTTTGACAGTTGTCAAGACAAAAATAAAGATTAATAGAGGAATATTTAAAAATAAATAAGACAGACAATGCACCTAAAACAGTATTTAACAATAATAATAATAATAATAATAATAATAAAAATAACAATAAAAAATAATTTTTTTTTTTTTTTTATAAACGCTCATATGAACGAAGATATACAACAAATATATCACCAAACAAAAAACTTATAAAATAAAAAATTGATTACAAAATAAAAAGTATGCTAACAACAAAAAACATTAATGCTAATGTTTAAACATTAGCATTAATGTTTTTGTTCATGTTCATTAAGTAATAAGCATCTCCTCAGAGTTGCGTCTATTATTACTGGCGTTGCAAGGCTACAAGCAATCTAAGTAACCAAAGCTACATTCAATAAATAAGTTGAATGGTAGAAAAAAAGAGAAGTTAAAATTTATCAGAGAACAAATAACCGTAAATAAAATTCATCAGCGACATGATGGTGGATGCGGTTGGGAACAAACTAACAAGTCAGCAGTAGAACAAGCTGCACGAAAAGAAAACAATGGAGTAAGAAAACAATAGCAGCTGCACGAGTAGAAAACAATGGGGTAGAAATGAGAACTTAAAACTCACAAGAACAAATAAAAGTTTACATGTCTACTTAACTCTTAACAATTAAGCAGGAAAGTTGAAAGTAGAATCAAAGATGGCATTTTTATAATTGTGTATTGTTTAGAATAAAGTTTGTGATTTTGTAGAAATATATGTTAAATACTCAAAAATAACTTCTTTGAGAGAACTCATCATTTTATTGTGTAAAATACTCAAATAATATTTACCTGGATATTAATCCTAAAATTAACCCCAGATAAAAAATATATGCTAATCTTACTTGCATGAGTAGTTCAGTTAAAAGACAAATAAAGATAATGGAACTTAGTGTTGAGACATGCTTGTTTAAACATTTATATTTTGATAAAAATTAAAATATATAACATAAATATATGTGTGTGTATGTTCATCTGAAGTAATTTTTAGTAAATCAAAATTATTAACATTTAAAAAAAGGAGAATTCAAAACATTTGTAAATAATTAAATCAAAAACTTCTCAACATTTTAAAACATTTTTAAAACTTAATTGTTATTTTTACCTAAACTCCAAAAGTATTAATATTCAATACTTTTCAGTTTGTTTGTAAATTACAGGTAAATGCATAACTGTATTGTACATGTACACTCCCTTGTATACCCACGAAATCTTTCTAAAAATTGGATACTAAGTATTTAAAAAGAATTTTAAAATGTATTTCTTGGTTAAATTAACACACACACACATACACACAAGATTAATGCAACACACATACACACAAGATTAAGCAGCACACACGCAAGTGCAGAACATTCTAGCATCAAATACATTTTTTACTAAACTGAATATAGAAAACAAACAAAGTTGTTAAAATTATCTTTCTTGATAATCTTCAGATATCATAGAAAATTGTACAAAGTGCAAAGACAAAGAACTAAAAGAAGCTTTATTTAATTTTAAAGGTGTAGGTGTAGTGAAACAAGTCACGTTTAATCTTGATAACCCAAGTTTAAAAAAAGAGTTGGATCAAAAAGGTAAAAAAAAAAAGAGGTAGATCAAAAAGTACAACTGCTTTTAAACTTAAACAAAATTAAATTAAGAACTAATCTCCTAATATTAGTAAAAATTGTGCAGCTAGGGTTGAGCTTTTACCAACTTTAAAATTGTATATTGTGCAGCTAGGGTTGAGCTTTTAACAACTTTTAAATTGACCGGTAAATCAGTAAAAAAAAAAAAGAAGCATAATTTACCATAAACATTAGTAAGACTTTAAAAAAAATTTTAAAAATCATGGAAACTCATTTAATTTTTTTGCTCCTATATAAAACCTCATGCTCTTTAATGTTGGATAAACATTATATATCTGATAAATATCTTTACAAGCCTTCAATATTGCTTCCTTCAAATGTCTAAAAATTGTACTCTTAATTGCATACAAAGTGTCAAGTTTTGTTGTTTAAGTCTGTTTACAAGAAACTTGAAAAATTCCCCAGTAATAATAGTTGCGTCCTATCAGCAAAGAGTTTATGCTGCCAATTTGACTAGTTTAAGAACAGTAACAAGTCTTTAGCTTTTATTTAGTCTAAAGCTTTTATTCCTTCTTGTCGGTTTCAAGTCAAGCCTCATTCTACTCCATGGTTTTCTCCTTCTTGTGCGGCTGCTATATCCAATCGTAATCATTTTTTTCATCTTTTTCAAAAGAACAACTCTCTTGAGAACAAACGGATATTTATTATTGCAAGAAACCGATGTAAAAAGGTGCTTTCTAATGCTAAGCTCCATTATTCTCAGTTCACTAAATCTCGCATCTTATCACAGAAGTAAGGCTCTAAAGACTTTTTGAAAATCTTCAACAGCATTATTAACAAAGGTAGATCTAACATTCCATCTCTCATTCATGGGACTGATCTTATTACCTCTCCCAAGGGTAAGGCAGAACTATTTGCAAAGAACTTTTCTTCTAATTCCACTCTTAAATCTTATGGACATTCTTTTCCTTTCATTCCAGTCAAACAGGTTGACCCATTGTTAGACATTCAAATCACTTCGGCTTCTGTTGCTAAAGTCATGTCTCAATTAAACTCGTCTACAGCTTGTGGTCCATACAACATTCCTGCCACAGTCTTGCAGAATTGTTCTCCAGAACTTTCTTCAATTTTCTCTAAACTATTTAACAAGTGTTTAACTGAGTCTTGTTTTCCTGCTTGTTGGAAAATGGCATCTGTGGTTCCAATATTCAAAAACTGGAGAAAATTCTGACCCTTCCAATTAATGTCTGATCAGTCTTCTTTCTGTTATTAGCAAGGTCTTTGAGTCTTTGATCAACAAATTCCTCACATCTCATCTTGAGTCAAATAAACTACTGTCAGACAATCAATATGGTTTTCGATCCTCTCGCTTTACGGCCGACTTGCTAACTGCTGTAACTGAAAGATTCATGCATTAGATGGAGGCGGTGAGGCTAGGGCTATTGCTCTCGACATATCTAAAGCTTTCAACAAAGTTTGGCATGCTGGTCTTCTCCATAAGCTTGCTTCATATGGTGTTTCTTGGAAAGTTTTTGAGATTATCAAATCATTTCTTTCTAACCGGTTTTGCTTGCCCTGTTTTGCTTCTTATCTACATAAACAATCTTCCTGAAAACCTTTCATCTAAAGTAGCTCTTTTTGCTGATGACTCAACTTTATACTCCTGTCTTGACAAAAAGTCTTCTCTTTTCGATCGCCTAGAACAAGCAGCTGATGTTGAATCCGATCTCACTTCAGTAATAAATTGGGGTTCACAGTGGCTTGTGAACTTCAACTCTAACAAAACCCAGTTGTTTACTGCAAACAACTACCATAATATGGTGAATGAATGGCAATTCTCTTACTGAGTCCTCCTCTTTACGTCTTCTTGGATTATCGCTTACTACTGACCTTTCATGGAAACCATATATACAATCAATTGCTAAATTAGCTTCTGCTAAGGTTGCTTCTCTTTATCGTGCTCGCCGTTTCCTTACTTCTGATTTCATTCTCTACCTCGACAAATCTCTTATTCGTCCCTGTATGGAATACTGTTGTCATATTTGGGCTGGTTCTTCTAACGATTCACTTTCTCTTCTTGACAAGGTCCAAAAACGCATTGTAAATGTTGTTGGACCTGGACTATCTGCTAAGCTTGAGCCTCTTTCCCATTGTCGTAAAGTTGCATCTCTTCCTCTTTTCTACAAATACTATCATGGTCACTGCTCAAAGGAGTTATCATCTCTAGTTCCATCAACTAAAATTCATTCTCGTTTTACTCGTCATTCAGCTAAGTCTCATTTGTTTACTGTATCTGTCCCTGCATGCTCTAAAAACTTTTATTCATCTAGTTTTTTTCCCCGCACTTCAATCCTTTGGCTTCTTGCAGCCTTGTTGGGAGTTAATGCAAATAAAAAAAAAATCATATCAATTTGACTGGTTTAAGAACAGTAACAAGTCATATCAATGCAGATCAAATGTTGTGTCAATACAGATTAAATGTGGAAAAATGTTTTTAAATACTTTTCTGATTGTATCTTTAACTTTAAGAAGCTGTTGAAATATTAGGAGTAGACTTTTCTTCTTAATAGTTCAACAGCCTCTGTTGAATTATTAAGAAGAAAATTCCCTCTTGTTCTGTAGTCAAGAATAAGGGAAACTTCTTTTCCCTGCTGGTTCTTGATTTATTCTTGAAGGACATCACTTTTTCCTGGAAATTTTTGAAATAACATGACAATTTTTCTAAATTTTGTGATGACAGGTTGCAAGTGCAATTTCTTGCTTAAAATGAGAATGTTTTCGTCCATGGTAGCATCAAGAAAACTGTCTTCGGTGTCAAATTCAGTTACTGCTGACTATGTCTTTGTGTTGCTTGCAATGTGTTGTTATTAATTTTTCAAGGCTTCTTGTACAGAACTTCTCAAAATACAATATGCATTCCATGGGTGTAACATGTTTGATGCTCGGTTGGGACCAGTTTTTAAAACTTATCAATAATGAAAGCTACATCTGTAACTGAGCAAATAATGCTGTCATCAATGTTACATTCAATTTCTGCTACTATATCTTTGACAACTGCTGCAGCTTTTTTCAGCTGGAAGAGATCTAGAAATTCGAGTCAAGACCAAATTCTAGTATGTGCATTTTTGATGAATATTAACATTTATGTTCCTCCAACTTTTTAAAGGTGTACTCATCTGGCGTAATTTAATAAATCATTTTGTGCATGTTTTTTTTTTTGCAATCAGGCACATACCATTCCTATAGGAATGATATGTGCATTTCTGACAGTGATAAAAAAAATCGTAACAAAATTTTAAGAGATAAGAAAAATAATACTTTATTAGGTGTGGCTAAAAATCTTTTTTCTTATTACAGCAAAATAACATTCACAAAAGTAACAAAAAAAGTAATTTAATTTCATAGTTTAGAATTTCAAATGTTTATAGTATAGTAAAAATCATTATTAACCAAAATTTACAAACTTAATTTTACTGGTATAAACATATGGATATTACGAAACTCTGATCTCTATGAATATTTTGAAACTATAATTAGAATGAGCTCATAAAAGATTCAACATGGCATTGAATTTCAAGGAGAATAAATATTTAAATATAAAATAATTGGTTGCTTTTAATACCCCCCCCCCCATTGAAATAGTCTGCACTTTTGTTGGATTATCCAAATTGAGTATTTAAACCCGATAGTTTATTTCCTGTATTAAAACTTTCCTGTAGTAAACTTTTGGTAAAAGCTCAACATATGTGCATAAGACCTAGACTTATACAGTTTAAAAGTTTTAATTTGTTTATTAATTAGATTAAATTCATTCAGTTATCATTTTTTATCATTCATTCTCATCATTTTATTCATTCAATTATCATTTTTATCATTCATTCACTCATCATTTTATTCATTCACTTATCATTTTTCTATATTGAAAAAATTTTAAACATGTAAATATTTAAATAAGTAAAAATATGTAAAAATTTATAACTGGTAGGTAGCCATTTTGATGTATATATCTACCTGTTCAAGAACTTCACTAAAATGGAAGAAAATACTGAGCTCTTGTTCAGCACATTTTATAAATCCGAAGCCATCTTTTATACTCGAGATTATTCCTACATCACGGGTGTGTCCATTTGGTACACAAACAGATATTAGTTTAATGTTGACAGCACGTTGTAATTTATCTCGACGATCTATTTAAAAAAATAACAAAAAATTTATTACAAAAATCTATTCAAAAAGATAATAATTAATTTTATAGGGAACTCGATTGCAAGAAAGTAAATAAATTATTTTGAATAATATTTGTAATAATTATAAACTACAAAGTGCTCAATCTTATACCTTAATAAATATTAAATAGTTCAAACAAAAAAGTTTATTTAATAGCCTTAATTTAAATTTCCAATAAGGAATGTAAAAACATAAACGTAACTAATAAATTATAATAAGATTAATAATTTGTATATTTTTTAACAATTATTATTATGGTATTTATGCAGTATTTATAAAATATATGTTAATTATAATATAACTAGGTAAAAAAAACTATGATTTGAAAAAATATTGAAATAAAATTTTGGTTTCAAATGTTGCATCCAGCGAATTGTGTATTTAGTAACAAAACCTTTTTAAAATTCTAATATTTTGATAACAATTTTTTTTTCAAAATAAGAAAACCTGGTACAAAATCACATTTCATTTTACAAAACTAAAAATCAACAATCCAAAGGAAAAGTATACCATACTTGTTGCCAATCATGTTAGTCCAAAAAATACCATACTCTAACAAAAGTAACATATTTCAACAGCATTCAATTAGGGTAAAAAAAAAGAAGATGTGAAATCACTGGTTTAGTTTAATATCGCTGATATGTTGATGTAATATCACTGACTTAGTTTTTGCTGTATTTGAGTTATTTGCAATCAAATTTTTTGTAGACTTTTTCAATAAATTGATATCATATTTTTTTGATTGTGTGCCAAACTATCAGCAGTTTTTATATTAGAAATTATCTTTAATTTTATTGTGAGTAAAAGAAAATCAGATAGAATTTTTATTTATAATCAAAGTTCTTTATCTATCATGTTTTTGCAAAAAAATTTTATCTCCCATTATTGAGCCATTTTCTTGTACGACCATAAAGTTAGACCACAACTTCATCAGAAAACAGAATCCTTGGAAATTAAAAAATATGTATTTTCAGGTTTTCAGTACCATAAGAAAATTAGTATTCTTATTTTAGTATTCTCAAAATAATTTTATTAGCAATAACTTTTAAATAATTACTAAATAATTTCCTTTAAAAATAAAATTAAAAAAAGATTTCTTAAATTAAAAAATCTAACTTTTTGTGAGCCAATGTTATTTTTACAAAAACATTTTAAAAAACATTTCAATACCAGTTGATACATTAAACTCTACTATGTCTCCTTTCTGCAACATAATATCATCTTCAGTATCTCTATCTCCAAAAAGGATTTCATGTGTATCATTTTTCCCTTGATACTCAATCATTCCTGTTAAATGACCGTCCACATTTGTTCCTGGTGAAGAAGATATTGCTTTTATTACATGACCTTTATAACGTGTTGGAGAAATATCTTCAAAAACAACAGTTCCAGTTGGTAGCTTTTTTATGTTAACAGCTGTTTCTTTTCCCTATTAATACATATAAATGTATTAATATATATATAAATAAATATATATATATATATATATATATATATATATATATATATATATATATATACACACATAAAAATATACATATTATATGTATATGCATATGTATATATATATATATACACTTATGCATATGTATATATATACATATGCATATATGTATATGCATATGTATATATATATATATATATATATATATATATATATATATATATATATATATATATATATATATATATATATATATATATATATATATATATATATATATATGTAAAAAGTACGAACACACAAAAAAACACATAAAAAAAACAAAAACACAAGTGTCAAACACTTTTCAAGAAATTGTAAAAAGTGTAAAACTATAACACATTATCTTGTGTTTTTATAATTGCCTCTTAAGCATCCGTCAGATCCCAATTAAGGATTTAAATGCATTCAAATATTTTCCCAAGATTTATGTAACAAAATTATTGATTCCAGTTCTCATTTTTTTCTTTTTTTTTTTTTTAGATTCTTTTTCAACAAGGTTGCAAGCAACTACTAATTAGCTTTGGAGTTACTAGAAAAAAAGAATAGAGTTATAGAGCAAGGAAACGGTTGACAGAAGACTTGAAAAGTTGAAGGTTGTTGTTTAAATCAGGAAAACATGAAGTTAAAAAAAACGAAAGACGAATAAAAAGTTTTTAGAAAATGCAGGGAAAGATACAGTAAACAAATGAGTCTTTGCTGAATGACGAATCAAACAAGAATGAGTTTTAGTTAATGGAACTAGAGATGATAGCTCCTTGGAGCAGCATCCATGATAGTATTTGTAGAAAAGAGAAAGATATGCAACTTTACAACAATGGGAGGGAGGCTCAAGCTTAGCAGATAAAGCGGGTCCAAATGTGTTTATAATGCATTTTCGAACCTTGTCTAGAAGAGAAAGAGCATCATTAGAAAAACCAGCCCAAATACAACAACATTATTCCATACAGGGATGAACAAGAGATTTGTAGAGGTCGAGAATGGAACCAGAAGTGCAAAAATGGTGAACATTATAAAGAGAAGCAAACTTAGCAGACTCTAATTTAGAAATTGAAACAAGCTTATGAAGAAGGCCAACATGCCAAACTTTGTCAAAATCTTTAGATATGTCAAGAGCAATAGCTCTAGCCTCCCTACCTCCATGATGCACAATAAAATCTTACAGTCACAACAGTTAGCAAGTCAACTGTAGAGCTAGAGTATCAAAAACTGTATTGATTGTCTGACAGAAAATTATTTGACTCAAGATGGGATGTGAGAAATGTTGATCAAAGACTCAAAGACCTCGCTAATAACAGAAAGAAGACTGATCAGATGTTAATTGGAGGGGTCAGAATGTTCACCTGAGTTTTTAAAAATTGGAACAACAGATGCCATTTTCCAAAAGGCAGAAAAACAAGATTCAGTCAAGCACTTTTTAAATAGTTTAAAGAGAATTAGAGAGTTCTGTGAGAACACTTTTGTAAGACAATGACAGGAGTGTTATCTGGACCACAAGCGGTAGAAGAGTTTATTTAAGATATGACTTTAGCAACAGAAACTGGAGTGCTTTGAATGTCTAACAAGGGGTTAACCTGTTTAATTGGAATGGAAGGAAGAGAATGTCCATAAGTTCAACTTGTTACAAGTTAAACTTCAGACGCCTGTTAAAAATTTAGAGCTGCAAACTTAAGAATATTTTTTATATTTTATTACTACTTTTCATTTTTTTTTTTTTAATAATGTTCTTAAAAGATAAACAGATATAAAAACATAACTTTAAAAATGAATAAACTAAAAAAAAAAAAAAAAAAAAAAAAAAAGAAATTTCTACCTTTAGTCAGATATGTGATATACCCTTAGTATGGCATAATTTTCAATCTTATAAGGTCAGGGATTACCCTATATGTGTACCTATATGTATATTTGATTATATGTGTTCAATAAAGAAAAAATTAGTTGTACACGCCTACAAATAATAACTAAAAGTTATGTTAAGCATTAATCTTATGTTAATAATGCTTAACATAACTAATAACATAGAAAAGTTGATGAAGATATCTTGACTGCTTTAACTACTTGATGTCAAAAAAAAAAAATGATAAAAAATATTTCCAGAGAAATATTTGAATATCAGGAAAAAAAATTGCTTCTAAATAAATATTTGGAAAAAGATAATTTCTGTAAGGTAGAAAATTGTATAATAAATAGTCATTAGTCATACAATTTTTTATCTTAAAGGTTAAAATTATTCTACGTTAAATGTAAAATTTTCTACCTTCAAAGGTAGAAAATTTTATATCACATTTTCTACCATAAAGTAGAAATTTCTACCTTTTTTTTTTAAAGTGTACCAAAAAAATTACATTGAATAAAAAACAAAACAAAAAAAAAAACAATACTGCTCGTTCTTGTAATTCATACTCAACATCATCACCAATTAGAAGTTCATTGATATCATCTTTAAACTCACTGTAATGAAAAAAAATCTCAGCAACTGTGTCAGCTCGCTCTATAAACCCAAAATTTTCTTTTAACGAGCTCACAATGCCCTGTCCAATTTTCAAAAGTGGTTGGGTACTACTAAGTCTTAATTTACGAGCTTTCATTGAACCTGTGCGCTTGTTTGTTGCAACATTAAATGAAACGTAATCTCCTTTGTTGATTTTTTCTCCTTTCTCTATATCTGATATAGAAAAAGGAAGAAAAAAAAATTCCTAAAAAATAAATAGTATACAACAATAAGAAAATATAAAATAAAAGTTCTTACAATTCATTATAACAACAACAATAACAACAAAAAACTCATTAAAAAGCTAAAAGTCAATAATTAACAAATATTTTAATTTAATTGCATGTTATTTAAGTTCACCATCAATAGGAGGAAGAGAAGGTGACAGCTATAGAAGAATTTTCTAATTTCTTTATAATTCTAAATCAACTCAAAACAAGCAAGACAGGGACAAAAAAAACAAAACAAGTTAAGCATGAAGTTTTCTTTTGTCTTACTACAGAGCATAAGATTGATAGTAAGACAAAAGAAAACTTCAACAAAATTATTTATTAAATATTCTAAATGTTAAACTTTCAGAAAAAAAGGGATCTATAAAAGGTAATGAAATATATAAGCAAATATATATATATATAAAAAGAAAGAAAATATATAAAAGATTGCAAATATAACTTTCATTTATATAGAAGGGTTGATGGACTCATGAAAGTGTTTAGATAGGTGGTGGAGAAGGCAGTTGGACAAACTCTAAATAACCAAGTCCAACTAGAAGATATTCGAAAAGTACAAAAATACTAAATTATGTTACAACAAAAATTTAAAAAAGATCACAACAATTTAATTCTATCATTATATCATAAAATATTAGGCAGTTAAAAAAAGCAAGAAATAAAACTTACTCCGTTTTTGTCGTAACTAACACGTCCTAAAGTAGATATATCTGCAGAATCAGCATTTTTTGAAACTTTAGGCTCAACTTCAACTCTACCAGTGCACATTTCCTCACTAAGTGTCTCAATAACAACTGAACCTGAAGGTAGTTTAGATAAATTAACTGCTAATGGTTTATTATTACGATGGTCAGTAGTGAGTAAAAACTCCATGCAATCTAAAAAAAAAAAATCAAGTGAAATTAAACAAATTTTAATAATAATAAAATATTATATTTTTTTGAATGAAGTTATTTTATAAACTTCATTCAAAAAATATTATTTTTTTAATGAAGTTATTTTATAAACATATTATGAATATTATTATCTATAGCAAATCTTTACAAAGATAACATTAAACTTACATTACATCTACCTATCAAACTTTTTTATTATTAATCATATTTATTTTATTAGAAATGAAACATTAAAACATAGAGCTGTAGATTTATATCATAAACATTAGAAATAGAACATTTGAACATAGAACAGTAGATTTATGTTACAAACATTAGAACGTTAGAATATAGAGCAGTAGAAATAGAACAGTAGATTTATATTACAAACATTAGACCATTAGAACATAGAACAGTAGAAATAAAACATTAAAACATAGAACAATAGAATTACATTACGAACATTAGGCCATAGAACATTAGAACATAGAACAGTAGATTTACATTACAAACATCAGAACATAGAACATTAGAACATAGAACAGTAGATTTACATTACGAACTTTTTAACCAAAATTAGAACAGTATTACTAGTATTTTTAATAAAACAAGTTTTTAAATTTTATTAATCATTTTAATAGTATAATTTATAATTTCATACTAATATAGATAGGTAGAACGACAAATTTATTTTGAATTAATGAAATATCACCATAAAATATAATGCTTAAAAAGTGAATATTTTTGAAAATATTGTTTTGATTTACCAAAAATAGATCAGACAGACAAAGTTTGATTTTAAAAGAATCACAAAGTCAAGTTTGGCTAGCAAGAATCACAAAGTTAAGTTTGGCTAACAAGAACCACAAAGTTAAGTTTGGCTAGTAAGAGTCAAACTTGCTTAAAGCAAATATAATAAAAATCTAAAACCGAAGAAAACATGAATAATAAAAGTGACTTTTCTAAGAATGTTTTAATTTTCTTATATAATTTTAGCCTTTTTTTTTTTCCCTAAATCTAATTCACTCTCAAAAAAAGATGGAAGCAATCACTAATAATTAGTGTTGTTATTGACTTCAACTAAATCCAAAGTCAACTAGTCGAAATTGAAAAATCAAATCTAAAACTTTTTAAAGCTCAAACCGAAAGAGTGTTACAATATTTTAAAGACTGCTTGAAAGTGTGGGTTAATGAAGCGACTGAATCTAATCAACTGAAAATCAATTTAGTCTATTAATAATCTTAAAATCCGTGTATCTATTCAAAATAAGTTTTTCAATCTTAACTCTTGTTTGTTAAATTAATAACAATAGCATGTACTAATACAACTTTTACATGGTACCTACCTTTTTATTTACTATCTTAAAGTTTTATATAATTTATTGCATGTTAGCAATATTTAAACCTAATTAAACTTTCTGTTATGTATTTCAATATTTTTTATTTTATTTGTTTATTTAATGATTGTGATTTTCAAAAATACTTTTATACAAGGTGGTTTCAAGTTGAATTAAGGGGCCTGGGACAAAATTAAATTGTGAAGCTCTAAAATATAAACTTCATATATGCAATCCCATAGCAGCACATGATTGTATATATGCAATCCCATAGCAACACATGATTGTATATATGCAATCCCATAGCAACACATGATTGTATATATGCAATCCCATAACAACACATGATTGTATAGACCATTTTGATATTTAGCAAGTATTTAAGATAAATCATTGGGGCTTGGGAATAAATCATCGCATTGTCGGAGCATCCCATCATCGGAGCAGCTCTGTTCTCATATCGCTTTGTTTTATTATTATTTAAATATGATGTTCAAAATAAAAAGTGAATAAAAATTACTTTATTACTTTTATCACAATTTACTTTGAAGAAAAAATTCAACTAAATCAACATAGTCATTATCAACATGTGATGTCAATTATCAACATGTGATGTCAAATATCAACATGTGATGTCAAAGAAAATATATTAATCGGTTTATTCGACAGTCTATTAACTATTTAATCTACTATTTAAAAGTTGTAAGAATGCTACTAATAAATTGAGAGTTACAAGAAAAAAAAGAACAGAGTTATGGGAGAGAGGTTCAAACTTGAAAGATAAAGCAGGTCCAACTAAAAATACATTTTTAGATCTTGTCTAGAAGATAAAGAGCATCATTTGATAAACCAGCCCAAATATGACAATACAGGAACGAATTAGAGATTTGTAGAGGTAGAGAATGTAAAAATGATAAAAAATCAGAATTAAGATAATGGCAAGCACAATAAAGAGAAGCAACTTTAGCAGATGCTAAATTTGCAACCGATTGTAAACATGGTCTTTATGAAAGGTCAGTAGTGAGTGATAATCGAAGAAGACATAAAGAAGACTCACTGAGAGTGTTGCCATTTGTTAGAATTTCAATTAACAACCAATTGCAAGCCCCGATCTGTTACAGAAGTGAGATCAGAATTAAGACCAGCTGCCTATTCAAAGCAATCAAGAAGGTAAGGTTCTATCTAGACTTTTTGTCTAAATAGGAGTATAAAGTTAAGTCATAGGCAAAAAAGTCACTTCAGATGTAAGATTGTCAGGAATATCATTAATCAGGCTTGATCAGGAAGCAATCACTCTCAATTACTGACCACAGAAATAATATTTAGTTGTGAAAAACTGGCCAGATTTTTTAGTCGTTTAGAGAACTAAAAAAAAAACAAAAAAAGGACAAAAAAGATTAACTGAACCGATGGGAGACAATTACAAAAATAAAAATAAACTAGGAGAAGAAAATAACTTTTAAAGCGAAAAAATTTAAAGCAAAATAAATTACATTTAGAACAAATAATTTCGAAACATCGCTTTTTTTTATTTTTTAAAATAAAATTAAGCAACTTTTTTTATATAAAGTAGCATCTTACGATTGCTTAATAAGGAAACAAATGTTCTTCTATTTATCAGAGAGAATAATAAAATTTTTATTTATATACTTGTGTCTTATTTCCAGTTCTGCATTAAGGAGGGGTGGGGTTAGAAGGGGCTAAAGCCCGGGCCCCGCAATGTTAGGGGCCCCAAAAAAGACCTCCAAAATAAAAATAGCTCCTGGCCCCGAAAGTCAAACAAGATTCTAATAAAACTAATATTAATTTTAGTTTTATTTGAGCTAAATTATTTTATTATTAAAATTTTTTAAATCTAGATCTAAAAATGGGGGTAGGAGCTTGGGGGAGGGAGGGGGTACGAATTTATACTGAAAGTTTCAATATTTATCAATTACTAGTATAAGGGAAGAGGAGGGAGGCACTAAACACAAACATGCATACTTTGTATGCATGTTTATGTTTAGTAACCAGAAAAAAACAGATACACAAAACTACATTTACATAAAAAATACATACTTTTTAAATAAAAAATAACAATATACTAATAAAATCTATAATATATAACAAACTTTCAAAACTTAGGCAATTTAAAAAATATATATTTAAAACATTTATTTTTGTAAACAAATAATAATAGTTTAATAGATTAAAGTGGCTACGAGAATGTTTTTTATATACGAGAATGAGTCATAGTGTTAAAATAATAGTTTGTTTGATAGTATATTCTTAAAACAATTATTGCTAGAAATCTCAAAACTTGACAAATCTCAAATAATACAATTTTTAATACATTTCAACAGAATACTCTAGAACTTTATTTCGCTTAGTCAGCGTATTTTTTGATCCAATAGAATTAGTTTGTTCATAGATTTGGCAGATTTTTAGTTTTGGCGAATATTCTTTTTATTCTTCCGCACCAAGATGTTTTGAGAGCATTCAAGTTTATGTATGTTTCCATGTATGCCATAAAACAAAAAATTTTTAAATTCACGTAAAAGTATTGACTTCATAATTACTTTCCGGACAAACATGCAAACATAAATATATTTAAATTTTCTCAAAACAACTAAAAAATCTGGCCAGTTTTTTGCAACTTAATATTATTTACGCAGTCAGTAATCAAGAGTGATTGCTCCCACTTCCTGACCAAGCCTGATTAATGTAGATGAGAAATAAAACAGACCAAAGAATAGAACCTTCAGGTTCTATTCTTTGGACTAGAAATCATAAACAGATAGGAACCTACAACTATGAAACAAATTGGACCAATAACAAAAGGCTACTATAAAACAACATTTAATGTCTTTAACTATTATATAAAGTATAAAAATATTGTCATGCAAAATTAAAATGTAACAAGTAAAAACTATTTATATTGAAAACAAATATTTTAAAATATAAAATAAAACCTCCTACAACAAGTTTATTAGGATCACCATCATATTCACTGTAATGGAAAAAAACACGATAATTGGTTGATGAACATTCCAAAAAACCATATGAATTTAACAGTTTCTCAACAACACCTTTTTCTCTTTTTCTATTGTGAATGCCAGGCGAAGATACAACATGTTGATCTCCATTCATCTTTTCAATTTGTTTTTGTTTGTAAGGCGAACTATACCCATGGTTTGACAACATATTTTTTTCTCTCTAAAAAAACATTAGTACTTGAATGGTTTGACAAAATATTTTTTTCTCTCTAAAAAAACATTAGTACACGAATATTTTAATCTACATTTTTTTTTTGGCATTATATAAAATGTATAACTTAATAAAAATTTAATTATCAGGAAAAAATCCAGAAAATATTTTTAAGAAATATCCGCAAAAATCTCGAAATAAAAATGCGATTTGTCTAAGAATATCTCATGTGTTTTGAAATGTTTTGGCAGGCATTCTTTTCATTAATATAAAAGAAATTTCGATACTTATTTAAATAGAGTTTGTAAATTAATAAAACTTATACAAAAAAATTACTATTTAAATTATTTAATGACAAAAATAATTTTTTTTTTTTTTTTTTTTTGTCATCAAATAATTATAATATTTCTATAAAATTTCAACTTGAAATTTTATAGAAATATCTGGAAAAAGAAAGAAATATCTGGAAAAAGAAATATCTGAAAAAGAGAGTCCCTGAATTATATATTTATATGATGTATAAAATATATATACTTTTAATGTATTGTATAAGTGTATAATAAAAGTGCTTGAAACCTTTAAACAGTTGAAATTAAACAACTATTTAACTATTAAAGTATTAAAATGGTCATTAAAAATAATGATGGTTTAAAAAACTCAAAATATTCACAATTTTAGTACGTAAAACCAAAAACTTAATTTATTACCATGATTTGTGTTATCTACCATTGGCCACATAATCGTAACACCCTAAATCATTTAATCTCTCCTGCATGCAAATATTTTTAAAAAAATGCTTGCCAAAAACAATATTTAGTATTTTATATTTTTTTACAAGTATTTTTTTCAATTGCAACAAATTTTTTGTTCATAAAAAAAGATGAAAGAGAAGACTAATTGTTTGAAGGTATTTTGCCAATTGATTGATGTACTTTTTTGTATACATAACTAATTGCGGTAATAAATGCGGTAGCGGTATAGTGGTAAAACACTTGCTTAATAAGCGAGAGGTTCTAAGTTCAATCCCCACCATGTCCTTGGTAGTACCTCAACTTGTTTCTCCATACAGCGGCCTTGTTTGTCAAGGTTCATGTTTCAGAGTTATAGAGTTAAAAGAGGGTTATAACCACTATTAAGTAGCCTCCTCGTCTGTAGTGACATTCTCGGCCTTAAGGAGGTGAATAACAAAAAAAAAAAAAAAAAAAAAAAAAAAAAAAAAAAAAAAAAAAAAATTGATGTGTGATTTATATATGTAACTAATTGATGTATGAATTATATACATAACTAATTGATGTATGATTTATATATAATAACACTTAAAAAAGTGTCACGATTCATTATTTTTATGCTATTTTATACTATTGAGCATAAAAAGTCAATTTAAAATTTGTATAGATTTCTAGGATTAGTGAACAGAAAAACATTTTAAACGCTTCTCCATACATAAAAAGATTATAAACATAATCAGTGTTCCATGAAAATTTGAAATAAAAACTGGTAACAAACTGGTAACATTTAAAAGCAGGATAGAACAAGAATATATAACAACTTTATCAAAATATATATTTAAATATGCTATTGAACTGTATTGTATGATATAAATGAACTATCAATACAACTTTAATACAAGATATGACAACAAGATACAGATACAAGATAAGATTTTATACAAAATATAACCTGGTATGAATCCATCTTATTGATATTTCTTTGTCTTTATAATTGGAATTGCTAAGTTTGTATAGTTTCTTTGTCACTACAAAAAAAAATGGTGAATTTTTTTTTAGAAATGTTGAGTAATTAAAAGCCACTTATATATACTATACACATACATGTACTGCCTACATTACAACTACATATACATTTACAATTGGATAAAATACCTTTGTTACTGTAATATACACAAATGTATACAAACCTTTATAACAACTTCATTCATAATTATTGATATATTTAAATGAACAATGCCAAACTATTGGCTTATGCTCATAAGTTTATCAAAAACAACAGAGGAGCAGCCTAACATAAAAAATTTGAGAACATAATTGAGATGGTTTGAAAACATTCGAGAACATGGTTGAGATGGTTTGGAAACATTTGAAAACATGATTGAGATGGTTTGGAACTTAAAACATTAAATTTTAAAGGTTTAAACAATTTATAAAAAATAAAAACAAAAAGATAAAAAAAGGGGAAAGGAACCTTACAATAGGTCATTATTACAATTTTATATTAACCAACTGAAGATTAAAAACTTCCACAAACTAGTTAAATGTTAATTTTTTAGTTAATTTAAATAAAGCATGAATTGAATTAGGTTTCGAATATAAATGTTATTGGGATTACTTTAATTTTTTTTTTTTAATTATTGATTGGATATGGAAGATTGCTAATCTGCCATAAGAATTGTTTTTAAAAATCAAAATATTCTAGTTGCAAATCAGTAGAAAAAAAATTAAGTTATTGAATTTGTACATATATTTTTCAGGTTAGAGGAAGAGTTATATTTTTCAATATTTTAATTAATACTTATTTTCTTCATATTAATTTTATGCACTAACTGATACACAAACAATTATAACCAAAAATTATTTTTTTTTAATTATATTTTCAATATAGCTACAAAGATCTGTGGTCCATGGTTCCAATATAACTACAAAGATTCATGCTAGCTCTGACTATAAAATGACATTGGTGGCAACAGGAAACTTCTGAATTAAAGTTTTAAAAATCACTCCAACATTTTAGTGTTTCGTTGTTGTTCTTCAAATTTTTAAATTTTATGTTATTTTTTACAGTGTCATCACAATTATTATAATAACAATGTAAAAAACATTAAAAAACTGCAAAAATTATTTTATAGTTTTTTAAAAATATAAACATTCCTTAAAAAGATTTCAATGGTATGACAATATTTTTTTTTTTACCTCAGCCTCAACAATACCGATATAAAATTTATGCGCACGCAAAAATGGAAGTAAAAAAAGTAAACAAACGTTATTTTAACAGTAATTTGTTCGAGATTTACTAGGCAAAACTAAGGTTTATCAAACAATATTATTAAACCAGTGCCATTAATCTTATATAATTATTGAAAAAAAGAGCCTGTCTAATTTATTTTAAATAACATATTAAGAAAAAAAGTACCTCAAAACATTGACTTTTGGATTTGCAAAAAAATAATTCAACTATCTTATTTTGTACTCTAATGTACTTAATGTAGTATTTAATGCTAAATTTATGCATATATATATATATATATATATACATATATATATATATATATATATATATATATATATACATATATATATATATATATATATATATATATATATATATATATATATATATATATATATATATATATATATATATATATATATTTATATATACACACACATATATATATAAATTGTAAAATTTCAAGGACTTTTACAAATAGTACAAGTACTAATCTAAAGTAAAAACCTGCAACATAATAATATAAATAATAATAATTATAATAATTATAATAATACCAATAATAGTAATGACAATAATCATAAAAATAATAATAACAATAATAATAAGATGATGATGAAGAAGAAGAATATTATTAGTAACAATACTAACAGTAACAATAAAAATATTATACATATATATATATATATATATATATATATATATATATATATATATATATATATATATATATATATATATATATATATATATATATATATATATATATATATATTATTGTTGAAGAGCACAAAGATTAGATAAGTGTTTTTACTAAATTAATAATATAACATATACAGTACAATAATATCTTCAGAACATTTAGCGTTAATATTAAACTCTTAATCATACATTATAAAAGAGTATTTTAGAATACAATCTAAACATTTGTTGTAATTTGTAATTTCTTTATCCAAAATTTAGCTTGTGTAAGTTTTAGAAATTATTTAAAGAAATTATTGATGAGTTCTGAGCTACGGGTACTAATGTTTTTTTATTGTTGTAATGTTTGTATTCACTCCTTGTAAGTTTCTGTAAGTCAAAACTTTTAGGTGTCTTCATAATAAACTCTGTTATATCTGAAATTTAGTGTAAGTCTACAAAATTTAATTTCTTAAATATGTTTTGCATTGCCTGTCTTATAATATCTTTACTTGGAACAAAAACCATGTGCTGTAAAAGTGAGCAAGAAACTTTCAACCATGAAGAAAATATTGCATTTGTTAATCCTAAAGATATGTTAAACCTGTCAACAAGATCAGTCATCAGTAATCCAAGTATTAGCACCATTCCAATTTCATCTTTGCTACGTAACATTTATTTTGGCCAAAGTAGTTAAGGGTTTTTTTAAATTTCAAAAAACAGCAGTAGGTGTTTTTTTTAATATCACTTTGTATTCTTTGGATTAATGGTGATTCTGCACTAACTAATAAAACACATTGTCAGATATAAGGCCAGTATAAAAGTCGCAAGATCTATCGTTTTTCAAATAAATGTTTGTATACAAGTAAATTGCAATAACACGATTTGTTTGGATTATGTTTATACAATTTTGTTTCATAGTAATAACTGGTGTTGTTGAAGTTAATTTATCAAATAAATCTTTTTTAACTTCATGCTGAAGTTCTTTTTTTAAGTTATCAATTTTCTTTTTTTAATTCTTGATGCTATATAATAAAACAACGCTTAATATTAAATTCAACATAATTTGATGGATCATTGTTTGAAAAATTTGTATTATTTACATTAAATAATATAAGTCTTTGAGCATTGTAGCCTAAGTTAAACGAAAAATATCGTTTTTTAAATGATAGTGTTCTGTCAGGAAAATTGTCTGAACATACTCTCATTTTATATTTTATGGTAAATAATTTACTATGACGCAATAATGTAGGAGTTAGGGTATATATCTGTTATATATCTGTGTGTGTGTTGATAATGGACAACAAATGCTTACTCAAATGGTAGTTTGCAGTTTCACAAGTTAGAGCTTCGTTTAACATTTTGTATCATACATAAAGCATCATACATAAAGCACGTAAAACATTTTTACTTCCATTTCTGCGCACGCATAAATTTTATATCGGAACTGTAAAAAGGTGTATTAATCTCAACGTAATTGTAAAAATCACTCCAACATTTTAGTGTTTCATTGTTGTTTTTCAAATTTTTAAATTTTATTATATTTTTTACTGTGTCATCATAATTATTATAATAACAATGTAAAAAACATGATTAAAAGTTGCAAAAATTATTTTATAGTTTTTTTAAAATATAAACATTCCTTATAAAGATTTGGTATGACAATATTTTTTTTTACCTCAGTCTCAACAATTAATCTTATTGTAATTGTAAAAATCAATCAATCAACATTTTAGCAGGGAGATACAAAAAATATAAAGCGATGTGTTAACAAATAATATAAAGCGAAGTATTGACAGTCAATATTAAAAGGTGAATTATATTGCATATTACAGTTGTATGCAAGATACTAATTATGCCAAGTAAATCTTTTAAGTAAAAATAATATAAAGTGATATGTAAAAAAGTTAAAGCCAACTATTTGTGTACACAGTTGGTTTGAAAATTTTAAACTTTTTTTTGAGTGGTTAGATAGCAAATTCACTTTTCAAGCATTCAATATCACAATTGTATGACGATGGTTGATAATTTTTACATTTTGTGCACGACATTAAATAAACAAAACACCCTGAGTATTTTTCACTATACTAAAAAAAATACATATATTTTTTAAAGGCTACTGGTTATAAAAAAAAAAAACTGCTAAAATTTATTATATTTACTATGTTTTTTACAGTGTTATCATAATTATTATTATGATAATACTGTAAAAAACATAAAAAGTTATTTTATAGTTTTTAAACATAAAACATTTGCTTTTAAAGTTATTTTTTTTGTTTTACTTTAAACTAAGAACAAATTAAAATAATAGAAAGTAAAAAATCATCAATCACAAAAAGCTAAAAAAAGATTTATTTAAGATAATTTATCATATCTATTAATTAGAGTGATCGTGATGGGGTAAGTTGCATCAAATTTCTTGGGATTGAATCACAACAACTACAGATTTGATTGATTTCAGACAAATTTTTAAGTTATTTTTAAAAAAATGATGAATGTTTTAATTATAAAAAAAAAAACAAAGTTGTTTTCAACTTGTTTATCATAAAAAAATATTTTTCATTTTTAAAAAATGATGGAGAGTGTGAAAAGTATTTATCTATTTAATTATCAACATTGCACAAAGATAATAGTATATTTAATGATGTTTAATTTCTCTTTGATGTTTTGTCTCTTAATGATGTCTCTTAATGATGTTTAATTTCTCTTATTATTATTTTTTTTTTTAAAGAAATATTTATTGCAAGGATAATATTGTAACTGGAACTTTGTTGTTAACAAACTTCGATTTTTGTTTGTTTTTTTATGAAATTTTGTTGAACATTAGTTCTATTTTTTTACACTTGTTTTTCTTCTATATGAAATGTTTTGCGTTTTCAAATTCCAAAAAAGAACTAAAATGTCAAGAAATTATTGGCGTTTTTCGAAAATATATTTTTTTTGTTATAAACTCAATAAATTAGTGAAAAAAATAAGTGCTACATAATTTTTTTTTTTTTTGAATAACTTTATTTTTTTTATTTCAAATAATAAGAGATCAAACATTATATGTAATTATCCAATGCATGTCTGTAAACTTTATGTTCAGAAATTATATTTATAAAGTAATACATCAAACCTATGTGATATCTTGCACAATAAAGATATTGGGGCTCAATAATACATAACAAATAAAAGTTACATTGAAAACTACAAATAAAAGGTGAAACAATTTGGAGGTGACAATTATTTTTTTAAACTATATTCACGATTGTTGAAAAAACTTGACTCAGTTTCTATTTGGAAACTTTAGCAATAAGGTATACAGTTACCTCATTTTTGCAAATCATTCCAAAGTTGCAACAGAGGGCTCCTTATGGTCCCTATGTGGTCTCAAAAATCCTCATCAAAATCACTAATAGGGACACTTTCTGTAAGCAACATGGCACATTAAGATTATACATATTTTTAATTAAGCATTAAGCCACTTATATAATAATTTGATTTGTTTATATAATAATTTAATTTGTAAAAACAGACTTTTATAAATAGACTTTTTCCTCTAATTATCTCTAATAGTTTTAAACCATTAACTTATGGTTATTTAAAATTTTTAAATTTTTTTCTTGCTAAAATGTGTTATTAAAATAAACTTTTTAAAAAAAGTTGTTATTATTAATTGAAACTTTAGTGCAAATTGAGTCCAACTGCTGACCAAACATAATGTGTGTAATCAATAAATATTCATATTTAAAAAAAAATTGTTAAATCTTACCATAAATTTTCCTGTCCCGTATTTTTATAAATAACTTTTGATTTTACTTTGTTACATTACCCTGATTGTCTAAAGAAAAAGAAAAAGAATAAATATATTTAAACTTCTTATATTATAATTACAAAATCATTTTCTTAATTTAAAATAAAACTCGAAAATAAGTTGAATAAAAAAATTTAAAGCCTAAATTATTACGTTGACCAATTGGAATCAACTTACCTAAACTAACTAATATGTTTTTTTATTGTATATATTACCTTCCAACTTTATTAAATTTACAAAAGGACAAATCACTCATTTACAGTTTATGAAAATGTTACAAATATTTACAAATTATAACCAGGTATGAACGGTAGCATATTAACTAGAGGTTGAGGTTGAAAGGTCTACAGGGAGTCTAACTGACTCTGATCTAGATTTACCATGCTTATAAAGTTGTGTAAAGAAATAGATAATATAAGTTTAAATAAGTATAAGTTTTAAAAACATTTTTTTTATTAAACAACATACTTAAATTTTATTTAAAAGTTTTTTTATAACAATATTGTTTAATTTTAATATATTTTATAAAGACTTTAAGTGATTTTTGGTTTTTTAAATGATAACCTGGTTTTAAATTTAACTTAATTACTATGCAGTACTTTAAAAAACGTAACTGACCTAATTTAACTTTTAGCGATGTAAGTATAGATACTGAGTAAAGTTATATTGACTTGCCTTACACTTTTCTGTTATGCAACAAAATCTGATAACAAGGCCTGATCTCCAAGGGCGATTGAAGTTTTTAAAAAATACCTGTCAGTAGCCTGGCAGGACAACCAGACAGTTTGTTACTTACAAAAATGTGTTGTTATTAAAACAAAAATTTGATCTATAAAGATTTTATTCTTTGTAGCATTTAACTTTTTTGTTAATTTGATGTTAATCAGGCATTAAAAGTACACTGCGTTTAACAGTTAGTACACTACGGTGCGTTATATAATTTTAGCAAACTTAATAAAAAGAAGTCTACATGCAATTTGATATTTCCAAGTGCGACTATACTATTTTTTTAAACGTTGTTGTATTTTGAAGCACACTTCTTCTTATTTTAAAATGAGTTTTAAAATTATATTTTCTTTTATTTCCAAATGCTATTGTATCATTTTTTAAACCTTACAGTTGCATTTTGAATTTGACTTTGTCAAACAAAAATAACAAAATAAAAAACACTATTAAGATACATGTGAAAAATCATTTTTAGAATGCAATTGATTATGCAAATGGAAATACTTTTTTTCTAAAAAATAAAAAGTCTGAGTATAATAAAAATTTTCAACACATTAAAAAAAATGTTTTAATAAATTTAATTAAAGATTGAGAGAGAATAATAGTAAATTTTTTATATGAAAAACGTTTCTTTACAGTTTTGGCTTTCAACATTTTTGCTTCACGTAATGAAACCTTTGTTAAGATTGACAAAAAGAAACGACAAAATACAGATATTGACTACAACAAAAATGACAACACAACATTAATTTTTTTTTTTTTTTTTATCTTCGCTTCCAACAAGGCTGCATGCAACCACTAATTGGTGTTGGAAGTTATTGGAAGAGAAAAGATGAAGATTGTAGAGCAAGATAACGATTGACAGACGACTTAAAAGATTGCAAATTATATAAATCAGGAAAGCAAGATGAAGGAAGTGAATTCCAAAAAACTGATGTTTGAGGAAAAAAACTAGACGAATAAGAGTTTTTGGAGCACTTAGGAACAGTAACAGAAAAAGGATGAGACTTAATTGAATGACGAGTAACACGGGAATTAATTTTAGTAGATGGCACAAGAGACGCTAGCTCTTTCGAGCAGTGCCCGTTATAGTATTTTTAGAAAAGAGAAAGAGAAGCAACATTACGACGATGTGACAGAGGTTGAAGGTTGGCTGCAAGAGCAGGTCCAACTATATTTACAATGCGTTTTTGGTAACAGTATTCCATACAAGGCCGGATTTGAGATTTATAGAGATAGAGAATAGAATCCAGAGTATGAAATTGACGAGCTCGATAAAGAGAAGCAACTTTAGCAGATGCTAATTTTGCAACAGATTTGATATAAGGTTTCCAAGAAAGATCAGAAGTAAGAGTTAATCCTAGAAGATGAAGGGTAGGAGACTCATCGAGTACATTACCGTTCATAAATATAGGAAGGTCTAAATTATTGCAATAACGATTGGCCGAAAAAAATTGAGTTTTATCTGAATTAAAGTTCACCAGCCACTGTGAGCCCCATGCTGTAGCAGAAGTGAGATCCTTTTCAAGCTCAGATGCCCCCTTTTATTAATAAATTAATTTACTTTTAAATAAACTGTTTTTTATTAGACATACTTTAGTAGTTTTAAATTTTAGATGTATTTTAGGTTTAAAAATTTTTTCTTCATCATTTTTACCCAAGAAAAAATACAAAAAAAAAAAACCTTTTGCAACAGATTATCATAGTAGATGACTCAAATGAGAAATAAAAACTTTTGGAAAAAACAAGATGGTACACTGCTGATATATATACACTACCATTCATAATTATTTGAATAGTCATAGTTTTCGATTTGAGATATCAGAATTTTACTGTTTTGAGAGGAATTGAAAACAAAGTCTACCTGAATTATATGTTATCTTCCTATTTAATATGTTTACAAAAAATTAATATAAAATCCCAGTAGATGAGTCTATAGTTTATTTGCCTTTTAATCATCCTTAGCAACAATAACTGCCATACATATTCTTGGCATTCTACTTAACAACTTATCCAATTTTCGATGCATAAGATGTGGAAAAAATTAATAAGTTTTTCCCACACCTTATGTATCATTACACATTTGTTTTTGACATTACTTTCCACAAAAATAGAAAAGAGATCTTGTGATTTGGAAGGCTAAAGCATTCTATTCAATATTTGATCATTCTCAAACTCAGTCAAATAACTTAAACAATTTTTTTGTAAAATATGTTTTGGATTCAAGCTTTAAGTCATTTTCTTCTGAAAAAATAAACGGCTTCCCATTAAACCATCTTTTCGAAGGTGCGGCATGATTTTTTATGTGTATAAGTAAACTACTTTTGTTATTACTCCCTCTATTTTTACAAAGTCACCTGTGGCATTCCAACCAAAACAGCCCACACCTTAAAACTACATCCTGCATGTTTTACAGTCTACTACATACTATTTACACACTCTTTTATCATACATTATCAATAATTTTTTTTTCTAGACAAACAGTCTTATCTTGAAACCAAAGAATTAAAACTTCAACATGTCAGTCCACAGTTACAGTCATTGATGGTCCATTTTTATGCATTTTAGCACACTTCTGCCTTTTTATTATTGTCACAATTTTTATCTAAGTATTTTAATCAAAATACTTTTAATTATCTAATAGCACAAAAATTAAACATGAAAAATAGTTGAATAAAAATTAGCATTTGAAAAAAATAAATAAATGCCACTCAAATAATTATAAACAGTAGTATATATATATATATATATATATATATATATATATATATATATATATATATATATATATATATATATATATGTATATATATATATATATATATATATATATATATATATATATCAGGCTTTCCCAGGAAAGCCGTGCGGTCGCACGCCTTGTTTGTCCACGCATAGAATAAATTTTTCAGAAAACGTGACCGCGGCAATATTTCGTGGGAAAGCGGAACTTATCCACAGAGAATAAAAAATAATATTAAAAAAAGGAAACGAAGTCTAAACAAAGTATAAAATTGAAATTGGATGTAAGAAAAATATTTTAATAATAAAAAAAAAACTAAAAAAAAAAAAAAAATCTTGTAACAAAAAAAAAAAGTCCTGAACATTTTTTTCAAAATTTTTTTACTGTTTTTGTTTACTTTTTTTAGGGTTGCTATTTTCAGCTACAAAATTTGATACAAGTCAAGGAAAAGACGACAATAAATCATAAAGTTTTCACGAAAATAAAAAGACTTGATACGTAATTTATTCACTAACTTTATCAGATAATATATTAAAAAACTGATTCATTATTTACGCTAGACAAATCTGATTAAATTTTTTCATTTAATTTAGTTTTTACGAAGATTTATGCAAAGGCGATGACGTTATTCCCCAATACTTAGACAAGAAAATAAATTGCTGTTTTAATTTTTAAATATATTACTTGAGATTTTAAAGATAACAAAATTTTAATGTGAAAAAAGTTTTCTCTCGACTTATTCTAAACTGATTATACTGAGTCAATGCTCGCCTTTTATTACGTTGAAATTATTCAATTGCATAATTTTGTAATTACAAAAGAAGTTAAAAAAATAATTGCATTGCTTCTGTTGTCATTATTACGAAAACAGTTCCTTCGGGACATTATATATTAACACTCGTTCACAATGTCAATTAATGATTGCAAAATAAGCAACCCAATCAAATTTTCTTTTATTTGAAAATTGAAAAAAAACTTATTTTACAAATAAATAGCAATCGTTTTCGCGCTTTCTTGCGTATCAATACATTTAAACATTTAAATGTATTTACGAAATATATAAAAATTAATTAAAGTTCTATCGTGAATTTTAAAGTATTACTGACTGATAAAAGTCATAAACAAATTTTACATTAAAAGGTCCTTTTATTTTCACTAAACAATAATCTTTTTCTTTTTGATTTGATTTTTCTTTTTGATTTGATTTTTCTTATTGATTTTATTTTTTTTATTGATTTGATTTTTCATAGCTAAAATAACTACCGCCCTAAAAAACAAAAAACAAAAAAAATAAAATAAAATATAGGTAAATTTTTTTTTTAATAATATACATTAATTTTTAAATTTGAAAGCACAAACAGATTTCTTTTATTTACTTTAAGATTGCTTGCATTTTTGCTGTATTTTTGTTTAGCTTTGTTTTGGCGCGAATTCTTGAAACGCATAATAATAAAACGTGGTCAGTTAGTCAGAAAAATTTATTCTATGCGTGGACAAACAAGGCGTGCGACCGCACGCCTTTCCTGGGAAAGCCTGATATATATATATATATATATATATATATATATATATATATATATATATATATATATATATATATATATATATATATATATAAACAGGCCTCAGCAGGTGTAAATGAATGCAAGAGCGGAGAAAAGTTCTCCTAAAACAAACATGGAGAGCCATGTTAGCTGCTTCTCTAAACAGCTATTTAGGAGAGCTTTTGGTTTTAGCACAAGCTATCTGTTAATTCAATAAAAAAAAATTGCTTAATACAGTCTTTCACAGGAAGACGTGCAATCGCACATCTTTATATGAACACGCAAATTACATTTAGCTATGACGATTTGACTACGGATATTTCAAAAAACATGCGCCAAATGTAAAATATTCTTAAAAAGTGAAATAAATTACATCAAAACTTCTTAACAAATGTTTTTAAATTAGCAAACATTTTTCAATAAAGTAACGTTTTTCTGAAAATGGATTTTTTTTTTAACATAATTGACAGTTGTATATATATTTTTTTAATTCATAATATACAAATAGTTTAAGTGTGCATTTCTATAATAAACGTTATTAAAAAATAAAAAATTGTTTTGTTTTTATAAACAATGACATTCTACGACAACAAAAGTCTCTTTAACGAATTTTGATATAAGAATAATTAAAGTTAATACATTTAAAAAGATAAACAAAATTTTGTTAAAAAAAAAAAAAAAAAGTCAAATGTTTTAGAAAGCTGTTACAATTAAATAAGTTTAATCTTAAATGCTTTTATATTATCGAAACGCCATTCAATGAAGTAACAAAACGCTTCTAATGAACTTTTAAAACAAGTATAATTAAACTTGTTTTTTTACTTATATAACTATGCATTTTTTATGAGAAATGTTTATATTTTGAAATATATTAAATAAAAATAAAAAAAACAAAGTACAAATGTTAAAAAACAAAGAATGAAATGGTTTTTTAGTGCGTAAATTAAATTTTAGTTTGATAAGTTTTGTTTTAGTTAAGTTTTTCTTATTTTTATTTTCTAATTTGTTAAGATTTTTTTTTTTTTTTTAAGTTTTTATTAGACAAGTTTTGTTAGTTTATGTAGCGTATTTTTAAATTTTGAAAATATGTCAAAAGCCGCGGTCAAACTGTCAAAACAAATTATTTTTTACGTGGTCATAAAAAGACGTGTGATCGCATATCTTCCTATGAAAGACTGTTATTAAATAGAAAATTTGGTTTTATACTTGTTACAAGCATGTTTGCAAAAAAAAGTAATATAGATAGCAACCAAAATAAAATAAAACAAAATAAAAAGAAGAAAAATAATATTAAAAAAGCAAGGCATATAACACAAAAAAGAAAAAAAGTCATGTATACATCAATATAAACAATACACAAAATTGCACAACAAAACAAAACATAGAAATACACAACAGTATAAACAAAACATAGAAATACACAACAATATAAAAAATACATAAAAGCATATGAAATTATAAACATTACACAAAAATATACGACAGTAAAAAACAACTGATAAATTAAAAAAATATATATATTATTATTGTTTTCCTTTAATAACTTGTTAAAGTTTTTTATTTTCAAATTTTTCACGAACATTTTTATTCTTTTAACTTGGCGTTTTGTTCTTTTGCCTATTTAATTTTTTTCTTTATTTTTTATTATTTAATATTTTCATTTTTTTCACTTTATTTTTTATTTATTTTTTTTAAATCTTCTATTCTAAACAATTTTTATTTGCTTTTCTTTTTTCTCTTTTATTTATTTTCACCTTTTCACCGTTAAAGTTAGCATTAAATAAAGAAAAAATTGCGCTTCCTCCATTTGCGATGTCATTGCAAATGGAAGAAGACATGAATGTATGCACTCAGCCAAGAGATAGCTATTTCAGTATGCAGATGTACTAAAGCTACCACAGATAGCTATTTTACTATGTGTCTGCATGTTTATTTATGTAACTTTGTAAGTATAAATATATGTCAGTAAGCAGGCCTTGCAATAAAGCGTCGGGCGATGTGAATTTTACGTCGTCCAAGAGCGATTTTGCGTGTAGCTAGGGCTATTTGCGTAGAGCAAAAAAGTTTTTGTTTGAGTATATTTAAAGATATTTTTGAGCGGAATTTTAATAAAGTAATTTACGATTATTTTAACATTTAATAAAGTATTTTAAAAACCGCACGCAGTTGAAATAAAAGTTTGAATTAAAAAAAAATTAAATATGCTCATTATTTACAAGTAGAAAAAATTCAGATTAAAAAAAAAGTTTAAATCTTTTAAGCTAACATTTTAATAAAATTATTCAGCAATAGCAAAGTTTTCGATAAAATTGAACAAAAATACTTTCTTTTAGTTTTAGATTTTAAACTTAAATAATTATTTTACGGGGGTTTGTTAGGTTTTAAAAAAAAAGATTTAAAAATATTTATTAACTGTTAGACGTATTTAAAGTATTTAAGAGTAATTTTGAGGAAACATTATAAAAATTGGTGAGCACAAATAAAAAAAAAAAAAGGATTAATATTAAAACGTATTCTACTTGATTCAATAAAAAAGTACAGTTATTAAAATTTTTGTAAAAAGTAACTCAAAAAAATTACTTAAATAATAAAGATCGCTTTTATGTTAAAAGTTACCGAAACTCAACGAAGCGTGCTCAAGAACAGCTGCTGAAAAATAAAACGTCAATAGTTTTTCGATAATAATTTTTAAGAATAATTTTTAATAATAATTTTTTCGCTGAAATATTTCTTTTATACCTATAAGATTTTTATTCTAACATTTTATTTTATATTACTTGAAATAAAATTCCTTGTTAACATTAAAAATTTATTCAAAACGTTCGTTTAAGTTTTTCATTAATACGAGTGATTGTGCTTATCAACCGCTTTATGAAAATAAATAAAAACAAATAAATAAATATTATATAAAATCGCTTGTAAAAATATTAGCTATTGCACAGTTTTTAATCGTACAATATTAAAATTTCCAGTTTATTACTCGCTGACTTTTTAAAAAGAAAAAATAATTATTTAAATTATATATTTAAGGAAAAAAAAAATCAAATATTAATATATTTTATAATCTTTTTTAAATTTAAGTTATAATGTTTTTTATTCGTTTAGTATAGACAAAACATGACAAACGTCGAGAAAATAAACAAATGTTTTTACATTTTAAAAAACGAAACATTCCAAAACATTTTTAAATAATAACATTTCTACAAAAACGATTTAAAGTAGTTTTGCGGTAATTAAGTAAATTGGTGCAGTTAATGTCGATAAATATGAAAAGCAAATAAAAAGAATTTAATGACGTCAAAAATCACGTCGTGCTTATGCGTCGAGCAGTTCTTATTCATCGCAAGGCCTGGTAAGTGACCGCAATAGAAATTTGACAAGGGCCAGGTTTAATTAAACAATAGTTGGGATCAGGTTTGAGATAAATATTAATACATCCTAAATTATATATTTTTTATTCGAAATTCATATTTATAATTAAATTCATATATATATATATGTATATATATTGGTTCGAAGTCAAGTATTATAATACTTCACTTTTCTTTTTGTGCAGTTGCCTTACTCAGCTCTGTTATTCTCAATTAGCTAAATCTTGTATTTTATCTCAGAAGCTAGAACCTAGAGACTTTTAGAAAATCTTATTAGTTTCATAAACTAAAGTAAGTCTAACATTTCATCTATACTTCATGTGTCTGACCTTATTACTACTTCCCAGATTAAGGCAGAGTTATTTGTAAAGAACTTTTCCTTTAATTTAACTCTTGAATTATAGATGTAAACAAATAATAAACTTTCAAAAAAAATAATTCAACACAAAAATAATTACACCAATTGGATTTTGAAATTGAAAAAAAATTGAATATAGATATATACTTTGATATATAATAAATTTCAAGTTTTCAAATATTATGTTATTAAAAATTTTCTTTTTTCTACTATCTGTATCAGAACTTAGTATATATTATAATATAACATCTAAAATAAAATTAAAAAATTGCTTTTAAAAAAACGTAAATTGACCATTTGTTGTCACTAAACTGTGGCAGTGACAAACTAAAACAGATGACAAAATATGGCTGTAATGACTAAACAACTTTTTGATAAATTTTAATAATTATTAAATTTAATACATTTATTAGAGATGAAAAAATTTATAGAGGAACCAAATCACCAATCACAAGAATGACAGCTTTTTAAAAAGTAATATTACTGGGATCAATTACGGGTTTTCTTTTCACAAAAATATTTATGAAAAAAAATTTTCCTTTAATTCAAAAGAAACTTTATTTGAAAAGTATTAATTTACTAAATCTGAATCAAAATCATCAAATATTGTAGACATACTTTCTCTAATTTTTTTGGGACATCTTGCCACCATGATGGACCTCGTTGCATTAGTCGGATGCGTAAACAACAACATCACGTGACGTATCCTGGTAATAAAAAAAAATCCTGGTTATAAAAATACGGAACCCAATAAATCTATAATTAAGTTTTTTTTTTAAAATCTTGAATTATCAGTTAATAAATTATAAACATATAAAACTCTATACTGGCTTTTATTTATTTATTTATAACATTAATAACTTACAATTTGTATTAATAAACTTTGCAAAATGAGAAAAGAAGTCCTAACATCAAAATAAACGCAAATGTTTTGAATAGGATTTAAAATGTAGCTTTTATTACCGTTAACAGAAATGCACGTCTAGCTCGTGTTTAAAAATTGTTTTAAGACCGTCCAAAGTATACTAAAATTAAATACGTGCACTAGAACCAGGATTTTTTTAAAGGGTCAAGTAAAAATATATATTGAATCATTAGTGTGAGATTTTAACTGTTAGCATAGTTGTTATTTTATTGATATAACAGTTCACTTCCGATAACTCGAACTTCCAAGGGACCAAACAAAATGGTTCGACTTAACGAATGTACGACTAAAGCGAATGTTCGATAAGTCGAGCTATTAGTTCGAGTTTAGGCGATGTTTCTTTATTCAATGCTAACTTTCTTCTATACAAACAAAAAAATAAAAAAAGTTTCAGTGAAAGAGATTACGGATTGTATTCACGCTGTAAACTCAAAAGATATATATACATATATATATATATATATATATATATATATATATATATATATATATATATATATATATATATATATATATATATATATATATATATATATATGTATATATATATATATATATATATATATATATATATATATATATATATATATATATATATATATATATATATATATATATGTATATAAGGCCGGCGCGATAGGGGGGTGTGGGGGTGTAACCCCCTCCCCCTATCAATGATTTTAGTCTGCAAACTGGACCCTTAGTCGGCAAATCCGACCTTTTTAGACTAGTTAGTCGGCAAATGTCGACCCTTTCGATATAGGTTAGACAGTCGGAGGTTAGACAGTCGGCAAATGCCGTAATGGCAGTCGGTAAATTTTGGAAAACGAGACCTTTTTTTTTTTTTTTTTTTAGTCGGCAAAAGTTGTAATGGCACCCCCCCACGTGACACCTACTCGCGCCGGCCCTGTATGTATATATATATATATATATATTTATATACATATATATATATATATATATATATATATATATATATATATATATATATATATATATATATTAAATGTTATAACATTAAAATAGGTTTAGCAACACAATGACTTCCTTATTATTTAGTAATAAAACTTCGTCTAAAAGCTAGCGATCTTTTATTAAGAATTTTATTAAAACTTTAAAAGAATTGCTTTTTTAACGTTATTTTATTATGATTTATTTTGTAACTAAATTTCATTATTTTAAATCTATTTTGTGTTTATTATGTAACTAAATTTCATTATTTTGTAAATAAATTTCATTATAACATCATATTAAGTTAGATAACAATCTTTTCTATTCAGATCTAAATTAAAAAAATTAAAAATATATTAGGCTAATGTTGTTTATGTTTTATATGGAATGACTTTTTTTTTTTCTGAATTTAATTATATATATGTCAAGATCTTTAATTCCCATACAAAAAGTTCGAGTTATTCGAAGAAATTTGTTAAAAGGAATCGTAAAAATGGTTCGACTTGTCAAAGTTTGAGTTATTTGAGGTTTGACCTAACCGGAGAATTTTATTAGTAGTCAATTAGACGATTTCGTAGGACCAAATGAAACAGTTCGAGATAACAAAAATAAATCAAAACCGTAATGTTTTAATACATTATACCTTATCTAGAATTAAAGCTAGTATATTATGAAAAATATGATTTAAATTTTTATCTGGTACTATATTTATCTGTCATTACTTTTTGAAAATTTTGCTTAATGGAAATTGTGTTAATACTCTAAATTTGTTATTTATTTGAAGTATAAGTCTAAAAATTATGGTTCTTATGCAAAATTATGCAAAGGTACCATTACGCTATTAATAGGGTGTTAAGCAACTTTGAAAATCAAAAAATTACGTATTTTTTTTGTAGTTAACACTGAGTGTTTTTGAAAATGTACTCATCAACCGCGTGCATCAACCACGTGCACCAATCACGTAAACCAAATCTTTTTAAGCTTATATAATAATAACAGTTTTTTTGTCTATCTTTATTTTTCAATTAGGGTTTTGGCTTTTGCTGAAATTTGCGGATTATCTTTATGACGTTGTTTGTTTGACTTTAATTATATGGATTTATTTACTTGAAATTTTATACAGTTTTACGTAAATTGAACAAAACTAAGTGTGATTAAATTTTAGTTAGACTAAAACTTTAGTTGGACTGAAACTTTTGTTAGACTGAAGATTTATTTGGACTGAAGATTTCTTTAAACTGAAACTTTAGTTGGAATGAAGATTTTGTTGGATCGAAGATTAGTTACACGTTTTTTAAAGTTTAAGACCTTTTTTATTTACCAACTGTAATAATATTTACATAATAAATAAATTTAGGGAAAAACTCAAAGAAAAAAAAAATTTAATGGGTGGAAACAAAACTCTATATATAGCTTCTATTTTAAAATGCCTATTAGTTTTTTTAAATATTGATAACGTGATTTTAAACGTCTAAGTTTTTTTTGTTTTGTTTACGCTTAAAAAATATTTACGGTTTGGCTTAGTTATTAGCATTAGTAATATTACAATAGTTACAATACGCCCATTACCAATTAATGGGTAGGGAAGACTAGGGTAATATGAGCACCTTAAGCGAAAATTGGAATATTTTCAAAAATAGTTATGCTGAATCCAAAAATTTTGCGAATAAACAACATTTAGGGATCTCGACTCATGATCCACTTAGATATTTGGGCACCCAAAACTTTTTCTTGAAAACATAATGATAATTAACATTACTTTTCGGAATATTATGATTTGTTATTTGCAAAACTTATCATTAAAAGATCAAATTTTAAGCCACTTTTTGTTGAAACAATACTACTACGTTTTCCGGAAAAAAAAAATTAGTTTGTTATTTTTTCAATTTTATTAACTCAAACCTTTGAACGATAAAAGTTCAAGTTTTTTGAACTTATATTACAGAAATATATATAGTATTGTTATAATTATATATTTTTTTTTTACTATATTTTGTTTTATTCAAAAAGCAGTTAAAACCACTGCTTGTTTTACGACTTTGAACTAGGCAATTTCAATCAAAAACACTGGCTTGTTGTAGTTACGACAATTTTAAAATATTATGTATATATAAAATATTCCTAGATTTATCAATTGAAGAGTTTGAAAGAGCCTTTAAATTTCTAAAAAGAAACAAAGAAATTGGTGCGGATGGAATAAACGGGAACATAATTATAGATTACTATGAAAGTTTGAAAAATATTCTGTTTGAAGTTTTCCAAACATCTATACCACAAGGGGTTTTCTCTGATTCATTACAAATAGCTAAAGTTATCCCGATTTATGAAGATGGAGAAAAATCAAACTTCAATAATTATTGCCCTATTTCGATCCTTCTTACGTTTTCAAAAATATTATAAAAAAGTATCTTCGAAAAAACATACAACTACCTGATTTCAAATAATTTACTAAATAAAAAGCAATTTGGTTTTAAAAAAGTAGTTCAACTGAGCAAGTCATCATTCAGTTTACACGTCTCAAATTCTTTTGCTAAAACACAATATACAATTGGTGTTTTTGTCGATTTATCAAAGGCTTTTGATACAGTCAATCATGATATCTTACTTAAAAACCTTGAGTTCTACGGAATAACTGGTAAATTGATCAAATGGTATAAAAGCTACTTTTTAAATGGAAAGCAATTCGTCTACCACGGAGTTGAGTTGTTTCCTATTCATCTTCAAAACAAATTATTAATTGAAATAAAATGTGGTGTTCCACGTGGTTCTATCTTTAGTCCACTTCTCTTTTTAGTATATATCAACGATCTAAATAAGGCCTGTAACCTTATGAGCATCGTGTTTTCAGACGATACCAATTTATTTTAATCAAACAAAGACATTAACAAACTTTTTTTAAATGTGAATAAAGAACTTTTACAAATTTCTACTTGGTTTAAATGCAATAAACTTACCTTAAATATTGACAAAACAAAGTGGATCCTTTCCCACTCTTCAACAAAAAAACGTTTTTTGCCTAATGATTTACCTAAACTTTATATTGATGAAGTAGAAAAAAAAAAGATTCGGTTTCAAAACTCCAAGGTATTTATCTTGATGAAAATATGATACGGAAAACTCATATTGATTATATATCAACATAAGTTGCAAAAAGTATTTGAATCCTCTATAAGGCCATAAATTATTTAAATAAAAAATAATTTAAAACAACTGTACTACTCATTTATACATAGCTTTATAAACTATGCAAATATTATATGGGGATGTACAGGTAAGAGTAAGTTGCAACGTCTTTACCGCCATCAGAAACATGCAATGCGAATATTATATTTTTCTAATCGTTTTTCAAACATTTATTCAAAGATATGAATGTATTATACGTTTATGAACTTAACTTGTATGATACTTTATGTTTAACGTTTTGGTGTGCGATCAACCCTTTCTTGAATATTTTCAAAGATCTATTTATCTTTAAAGTAAAGAAAAAATATAAATATAGCGAAATAATAACTATTTAAAAGAACACTTTGTCAAACAAAGTTTAACCAATTTTGTATTGATTATCGAGCACCTTATCTCTGGAAAATTGTCCAGCCTAATTTAGATTTATTTTTAAAAACAAGTTAAAGAATATTACTTTTTCAACGGATAATATTAAAATATTTTTGAGATATTATTTTAACCATTTATTATTTCAAATGATTTGGATTGTTATTTTGTTATAAACTGTATTATTTTATATTATATTTGTATTGTAATTTTTTTATGGTTCTGGTAACTAGACCGATATAATCTTCTTCCAGATTCCAAGTTTATATGTTTATATTGCAT